TAAGATTAAAGTTAATTATATATGTATTAAAAGCAAGCATTTTTTTTTGGGGGGGCTAGGTGTCTACAAACAATTACCAACCAAGAAAAAATTTCATTATGTATAAAGGGGCCTCTAGCCCAGGAGGTTTGCAGCAAAGGTCGTTCGCAACAACTACCTCAGTTGTGGGGAACCCAGCCTGACAAGAGCCACAAAGAACCCTAAAACCTCAGTTCAAGCAACAGCTTCATTTTTCTTTACTAGAAATCCTTTAATCAGAGCTGGCAGCACACTGATCAGTTAATGCAGATGGTTAAGAATGCAGTGCCAGTGAGTGACATGGACATCTGAACCTCTGCTCCCTGGCCTATGTGTGCCCGTATGGGCATCAGTCATGGCTAGCCAGAATGGCACTGGGTTTACCTGGGTGGGGCAGCCCAGCCTACTCCCAGCCCTGCAAATCCATCAGAGGCCAGGTGTGGAAGCCCTTGAAAAGCCAGCACCTGGGAGAGTCTCTTCCTATGCCAGGTGGCCCCTTAGGAGCAGGTGCAAATCAACAGGAAGCCCAAAGTGGGCAGCAGGAAGGTAGTTGTGATCACTCACTGGACCCTCACTCCGGGCTGATCAAGAGTGACCTCTATTTGGCATGCAAACATTTGGCCTGAAATCACTCGCCCAATCAAGATTTCAAAACACCCAAGAGTATCCCAATTAGGCAAGAGCTCTTGGGAAATTCTCAAAATAAATCTTTACTTTTACAAATGCCCCTGGTATATCTTGGGAGACAGCCTGTCAAAATATCAAGCAAATGGCAAAGGTTTGTGACTGTTCCCAACTCTGGGAGCCACTGGCTTGATACTGAAAAGTTCAAAAGCACACTCATCACTGCCTTCAGACAGGAAGCTCAAATAAGCTGGAAAATTACTAATATGTGGCAAAACAATTTGGCAAGGAAGTGTCCATAATGCTGAGAACTAAACTGTGATCTGTAACCATCCTCTGGGTGGGAACGAATAGGACAAAATCCCACAACTTTTTTTTTTTAAGATTGAATTACTGAAGTAGAGGAAGGAAAGGAATTTCAATTGCTGGGATAGATCTGAATTTCAGTTAAGCATCTAACTCTAGCATCATGCAGTTTTCATCAAAGAATTCCCAGTCCCTAAAAAGGACCATGAGAGAACATAAGAAGAGGCGAGGAGAGAACTGAGTGAGAAAACTCACGAGGCTGCCGTGCATGGGTGGGATAGACAGGAAGCCCACTGCTGGGTGCCAAATTCCTGGCTGCCCACTGATGAGGGCTCGCCTTCTCAACCTGGCAGATTCACGCCTTAGGTGAATCTGCCCAACAGAGGCCACTGTCCTCATGAACGCAAACTAGGTGTGGGAATTTCAGGAAGACACCTGACACAGGGAACTTGACACCCCCACATAAGCAAGGTAGCTGGCTCTATGAGTTGGTGGCAGGATGGCCTCTGCACTCATGGGGCCAGGTCCCCACTTGTAGGCAAGGGCACACCCTTCCAGATGGCTGGGTTGAGGGCTGTAGTCAGTGTCATGATGGCCCCTCAAGGGTCCACCATAGACCAGGCCTGCTGAGCAGCAAGCTATCGCTCAGTAAGCTCTCTGCTAGTAGCAGGGTCTCAACTGAAACCTATGTCTCCCAACCATAACTGTCAATCTGGAGCTCTTTCCACCACATTCCTTCCGCCAGCGGTGGAGCAGAGGGAGTCACACCATGGGTGGTGCCGGACACCAGCAAAGACACTGCGGTGAAGCCCGTGAGCCCAGAGATGAGGCCCTTTGGCCTGTCGAGCAGCTTCTTAAGGGCACAGAAGGGGAAAAAAACAAAAGCAAGTTTATACTCACAGGGAAACATAATCTGTGATTATAAATATTTCATGGGCAAAGAAAGCACTACTGGCTGAGAGAGTGGGTGGGGGGAAGACAGCAAATTAGATCCCAGTTTGCAAAGTGATAGGGCAGCTGGAAGAGCAGCAAGGCTGGGGCTATTCTTGGCTGTGTGCTGCGGGGGCCTGCGTCACAGGCCCTGTCCACCCGACACTGTTGAAACCACAGCCTTTCAGTGGTCAGCACAGAACACCTTGGGAGGAGTGCTCCCAAGAGCAGAGGGGACAGCAAGGACAGAGTCATTCCAAGGACTGTGACGAGTCTCAATAGCAGGGAGGCAGGTGAGGGAGTGGAGTAGAGCAGGCAGTGCACTGTAAGCATGTAACTAAAGACAGAGGGAGGAGAAGGTCTGACCCCAGAAAGCAAGTGACCAGAGAAGCTGGGTTAAGCTGCCCTGCTCTGAGCAAAGGTTCAGCCCTGGGTAGGTGGTGCCAGGCTGAGAATAACAATTCCAACTTTCCTTTGCCCAGGCTAGGGGCCTCCTCCCCAACAGTTGTTGGGGAGAAGCAGACAACCCACTGAATCCCTACTGCTATGGATGCGCGCACACACACACACACACACACCCCAGCAGGGCAGCCTGGTGTTGGAGAGTCCTCCTCTGTGACTGTGTCCATTGCTACAGCAGAGCAGGCAGCCATATTCCTCCAGGTCTTCCAGAAGGCCAGATGAGAGGTGCTCCCAAAATACACCTAGCTCCTTGAGGTAAGCTTAGTCAGAAGAGCCCTGGGGAGCAGAGCACTCCTCAGCCAGAAGAGGCAAAGCTGAGAGCCTCTGCTCCTTTCATCTGGGCTTGGCAGGCAACAGGCTCTGAGGTGCACCTGTGGGACTAGGGGGACTCAGAATGACAACCTGTGGGATCACAGTTGATAAGAATCAAGTTGAGAAGGGGAAGACTCACCAACTGCAAAAGTGAGACCCAGGGATGTTGTGGGCAGACCCTGGGTTGGAAGCCACAGGACCTGGCTTTAAGATCAACTTTACCAGTTAGATGTAAGGCCCTGAGATATGACATCACCTCTGAAATTCAGTGTCCTCACCTAAAAACTGGAACCAAGGCCTGTGAAGTCCAAAGACTTTGAGGAACACCAAGCATATGATATACCTGAATATGCACAAAGTATGCTGTTACTCCAATGGAAGAGATTATCTATACCTAACTACCCGCTCCCCAACTCGGATATCTCAAAGGCACACCCACCTGCCTACCCACTACATTCTCCTGCCTTGATCTTCAGGCCTCTCCAAGAACACCCTAGCTCACTGTTCAACAGGAGCAACCACCCAGGCATGGAAGCCAGAAACCGTGACCCAATCCTTGGGCTTTCCACCATATTGGCCCATTGCCGAGTTCAGTCAACTGTACTTCTGAGACATCCACTTCCCCCACGTCCACTCTAGTCCACATTAGGATCTTGTGCACTCTCTATTGTAAAGCCTACGCTCATCCATTCTGGCCTCTTCAAGCCCCTCTCCACAGAGTAAATCTAAGCCTGTCTCCCCTACCACAACAGGCCCCTGCTGGCTAAACACCCTCCAAAAGCATTCCAATGCCTTTAGGACAAGAAAAACCTCCTTCCAGGGCCTTTAAAGCCTGCTATAGTCCTGCTATAGTTTGGATAGTAAACATTCCCCAAAGGCCCATGTTAAAGGCTTGGTCCGCGGCGTGATGCTGTTGGGAGGTAGTGGAACCTTGAAGAGGTAAGGCCTAGTGGGAGGTCTTCTGGTCACTGGAGACGTGTCCTTCAAGACAATAGTGGGACCCTGTTTCTTCCTTTTTTTTTTTTTTTGTAGTAAGAATAATACTAAAATTTATTAGGAAAGGAATTCAGTATAACAGGAGACATGGGGAAAAGGAGAAACATTTCCTGCTCCCCATGCAGAAAATGGGAACAGAGACTTGTACTGCTTCCTTTTTCTTTCACTTCCTGGACATGAGGTCAGCAGCTTTGCCCCATCGCGTTTTCCCACCATGATGATCTGCCTTACTACAGGCCCAAAAGCAACAGACTAATTGACCATGGGCTGGAACGTCCAAAACTATGAATCAAAATGAACCTTTTCTCTTCATAAGTTGATTGTCAGGTATTTGTTACAGTAATGGAAAGCTAATACCCAGCCTCATCCTTCACTATGCTCTAGCCACACTGGCTTTTTATTCCAGTCCCTGGTATTTCTCCCTTTCCCTACTGCCCCAGGGTATGTGCACAAGCTCTTCTTCCCTCTACCTGCAACTCTCTCTCTCCCCTCTCACCAGCAAATGCCCACTCTTTATTTTCATGAAGGCACAGAGTACATGAAGTGCATTAAGTGTAGAGCTCATTAATTATTTACAGATGTGTACACTTAGGGAACTCCCACACGCCTCTAGAGCTAGAGCACTCCCCACACCCAGCAGGTTCCACTTGCCCCTTTGCAGGCTACAGCAACCCCCAGATAGCCCTTATTCTGACCTCTACCACAATGCCTATTCAGACTGCAGCTCAGGCAACTCTCTTTGGGATGCTGCCTCTACTCCCACTGAAAGTCTAACCCCTTCACCATAAGTCTTGCTACACTTAGGGCTTTGCATTTGTTTGAGGTATTATTTGATTCACATTGGTTTCCCCTGTGATACTGTAAGATCATGAGGACAGGAGCAACACCTGCTTTCATGCACCTTTGTTCTCCCAGTGGCACACATGCAATCATGATAACAGGAAATAGTAAACACATACTGAGTGCTCAGTATTGCCCAGTACAGTATCGTTCTAGGCTCTTACAGGCACTAGCTCATCCAATCCTCACATCAATCCTAACAAGTAGGTACCATCATTATATCCCAATTTTATAGGAGAGGAAACTGAGGTACAGAAAAGTAAAATAATTTGCCCAAAGTCATGAAGAAAGTGGTAGAGCTGGACTCAAACCCAGGCAGTTGGGCTACAGAGTCTGGGATCTTAGCCCTTACTCAGTCTCTCAGAGGCCACTGAAATATTTACTAAGTATCAAAAGTATTTTAAATGAACAAACTTGTGAGTTGATGAAATTCCATCAAAAAAACTACAGAAGCTCCTAGTCTCCCCAAGGAAGCGAACAAGTAAACAGAAGACAGACTGTCACTGAGTCACCTGTATAGGCCCAGGATGGCCATTTGCAAAATAGAAGGACTTGTCCATTTCTCCAGAAGTGCAGGGGGAGGCTCTGTGCCACTGGGCACAGGAGTGTTGACAGACACTCCTGAGCACAGCAAGTGGGGCCGGCCTATAGGAAACGCAGCACTGCTCCTACTCCATGATAAACCAGCAATCCTCACAACTGTAGAACATCTCAAGTCTGTAAATCAAGAATAGGACAATGGGGATGGGAAAAGAAAACAAAACTCTTCTGGTAAGAAAGTGACAGATTCCATGGTACATTAATAAATTGTTACTTGATCTATATCCCAGTTTCCTAGAGCCTGACAATCCCAGGTGAACTCACGTTCAAGGTCCAAATCAGAAGAGCAAGGGCCCCGAGAGACCAGCACCAAAGCTGCTCACGTGACTATCACTGCATGTGGTCACACTCGGCTTGCCACCTTTTAACTGCTTCAGTGGCACTTACCTCACGACCATATCCCAGAAAGCACAGGAGGAAAACATACATGAACTGTTTATTCTGTCACAGGACAATGACATTCAGTGTGACGGGAGCAGCCACATGGCCCCCCAGCTCCCTCTCAGCAAAGATGCTATTCTCAGAACTGTTCCATTCGTGAGTCCTGCAGCTGGAGGCCTGGGCTCTGCTCACACAAAGTTCTGAGCAATGGCCAGCACCTTGGAATACTCGCCTTCCTTCTGGCGCAGGCTGGTGGGGATGGGGATTTTAATTCGGGTCCCCACAGGGTTTCCGTTGTCCTCAATGAGGACCACATTGTTGGAGTCAAACCTGGGGGTCATTCGGGGGCCAGGCATGCGATGCCCCACAATGAGTGCCTTCTTCTTCTGTCCCTTGATGGCCAGAAGTATGCGGTCACCCACCTTGCCCACCCCATTCTTGTTGTAGACGTGGATGCACCGAGGAGGGCGATGGTAGGGGGTGGTCCCCAGGGCACTGTTGTCCACCACACGCACACGAGTCATCTTCTGAATTGCACTGAGGCGCTCAGTGGTGCTGTGAGAGAGAAAAAGCAGCCTGTGACCTGCCTCTCCCTGGGCCACAGTGCCCAGGCCTCGGGGCAAGAGAGTGCATGTTAGTCACACGCACACAGGTACACACACACACACACACACACACACACACACACTCTGAGCCAAGTACAACCCCGATCTCACACACACACACACACACACACACACACACACACACACACACACACACACACACACACACACACACACACACACACTCTGAGCCAAGTACAACCCCGATCGGGAACTGGTAAAGACTTATCTGTATCCAAGTTTCCTTACAATCAAGAGCTTCTGCTGTTGTGTCATGATCTCAATTTAAGTGAATGTTAAAGAGAATCCAATAAAGTTAAAACTTCCTGAAGCTTTAACTTCAAGGTTTTCAAAGGACTCTGGGAACTAAAGGAATCCTGATGGGCCAGGCCTCACCCACTGCCTATCCTGCAAAACCTGCTTCCCCAGATGAACTCCATCCCAACTGGTCTCACTGCACATCAGTCACTGGGAGCCTGAAGACGTGAGTGAGCAGCCTTGCTAAGCTTAGGAGCCCTTGACACAACACAGCAAAAACGGGAAAGAAGTCAAGGTAACATCTTTTGTTTTAACACTAGCAAACGTGTTTTGTTTTTTGAAATGGGAACACACTAAGTTGCCCAGACTGGTCTGGAACTTCTGGGCTCAGGTGATCCTTCAACTTAGCCTCCGGAGCTGGGAGTACAGGCATACAGCACCATCGCTGTGCCTGTGCGACGGGGGATTTTTAAGAGTACCTGTTAAAGGCAGATGTCATATTACTCAGCAATCTCACAGTGAGGTTTCTATCTTCCTATGTCTGTACCCAAGTGCTGGTACTTTCTCCAGGGTAACTCTAGGACCTCTTCTCTCATTCTATGCCTACCCTGGGCAATTTCTTCCATTCCCATTGCTGTCAACTAGTCTGTTCATTTCCAGGCCCACGTCTCTCCTAGTCCTGTATCTCTGCTCTCTGGCACTCCCAAGGACTGCCCCCAATATCCACTGACTGCAACGGCCCACTGACCACCTCCAAAACACTGTCCTGTTTGTTCACCCCCACAGGCAACTTCCTTCATTCAGCAGCTCACTCTCTGCAATGAGGCTGATGTCAGTTTTCTCCCTGGTTCCCACTAAACCTCACTCTGTCCACAAGAGCTGCCTTTAACTGAAACTGATGCTACTCTCCTGTATAGAACTGTTCAATGGTTCCCTGCTGTCCACAACTGGCCCCAGTGTGCCTGCCTTCTGAGGTCACACATTCTATCACTCACATACCCACTCTGTGGCCCAGCAGTTAGCGGGAACTACAGGAGTTCTCAGCTTTCCAAGGGTCCTGAGCAGGACCTGTGCCCGCTTCCATTCTGGGAAGGTTTCTTCCATGTGCCCCTCCTCCTCTCCTGTTGCAGGCTTTCCAAAGCACCCAGAAAACCTCTTCTATGTGCTCTACTATTAGACTCCTCCCTTTTCTTAGAATTACTTGTTTTCAAGCTTGTTTCTGCAGCCTGTTAGGAAAACTCATTCTCAGCAGGAAGCAATTCTTGATTACCTCTGTTTCATCAGCCCCTAGCGTGGGGACTCACATGGAACAGGGCAGGATGGGATGGGGCTGACTGGGCATCATACTTCAATCATGCTTGAGTTGTGGGTGACAAGCATGTATTTATTGTTTTTGTAATTAAAAGAAAATTTCCACTCTTAAGAGGGTTTAGGGCTGGACATAGTGGTGCATGCCTGAAATCCCAGCACTTGGGAGGCTGAGGTAGGAGGATCAAAAGTTCCAGATCAGCTTGGGCTGTTACATAGCAAGACCATGTCTCTAAAAACACAACACAAAACAAAACAAAAGAGGATTTGAATGTTCTACGAGAATGACAAGAGCTGTCAGATGCACTATAAGAATATGCAGGGAACGAAAAGTAGCAACTTCCCCCATATGCCTTCCCTGTTCCACCCCAGAAGAATCATCACCTTCTTACGTATCCCCTACTCCAGGTCACAAGGCATGCCCCTCCTCCAGCTGAGCTGGATTCCCTCAGCTTTCCCTGACCCCAAGCAGTGTCAGGGAGTGAAAACTAAAGGGAAAACTAAAGGGACCTCTAGAGGAGGTCCCTTTAGTTTTCACTCCCATTCTAATCACCAAAGAAATCAGCCCTGACAGGAGGCTTACTCAAAGACAGTTCTAGGAACTTGTGAAGGTTACCTGAAACAGCGCTGGCTGACAGCTCTGCTTACAAGGGTGAAAGAGCCCTGGAGCCCAGTAAAAACAGCCATGGGATCCCAAGATGGCAAATCCTGCTGGAAAAGGAGAGAGAAAAAGATTGGTTTCTAAGTCAGAGTCCTTACTCAGAACCAGTTGTCTTTGGAGACTTGTGTGGGAGATGGCACTTCTAGCACAAGATCATTAGTCACTAAATATAAACCTCAGTGGTTAAAAGATGCACAGATGATTAGTAGAACGCCTACTCCAAAATGTGCTGACTCACGTTCTGACCCTCGGTCGTGGAGCTGGGAAGGCCCTCAACAGTTGTGCCCTAAGTAATACAGTGGAACCTCCACAGGAGCAGGAACTCAGGAACTCTCTGGCACACCCCTCGCCAGTGACTGCTTCCTAACAGAGCCACCAAACTGCACACCACTCCCTATGCTGACACTCGTGTGACTTCTGAACCCCACGCTTAGCCCCCTGTAAGAAAGTACATTATCTAAGCAGCTACCCAAATTGCCTGTCACTACATCACCTTCCCCCCAAATGTCAAGACCCAGAACACTTGTGTAGCTCAAGGTCAGCAAAGTTGAGCCAAAGGCTGCCTGTGCCAAGGCTGTAGCCAGTCTATACTTGGGTTAGCCTCCCAAACAACAATGTAACATGGAAAAACCACTGGCACCATCCTACAGCTCAAAGTGGACTTTGGGAAAGCCAGCAGACAAAAGAGTTGGGACTCCAGTTTGCAGACCCTCAACCCCACTGCTCTCTAGCACTAACACGGAAGTCAGCAGGCTCCTGGACTTCACCTGAGCACCGCTTAGGGGCAAGGCTGAGAAAAGTCTACAGCTGGCAGGTGATTTCAGCTGCAAAGTATGCCTGTTCTCCCACACAAATGTTTGGCTGCAGAGGGCCTCATTTGAGAGCCTCGTCTTAATACACTGTAGTATTTACACACAGCTTTGCTTTGTACAAGTTCAAAGCATCTCAGATAAGACTTTATTTAATAAAGGTGGGGGGGGACCCATACTTACTTCCACAGGAATACCTAGACATTCCAAAAATGCCTATTAACTACAACTTAGCCTCAAATCCAGGCATACTCCCAAGTGCTTTCCTTAAAACAACCCATGGAGCACTGGCCAAATGTAATTATGATCAGAAAATTAAATGCAAAAGAGGCAGCTAACTTACCAAACTATTAACATGTGACACACAGAATCATGGACTATTAGGTAAGGCCCACTCTGCTGTTAGTAGCTAGGTGACCCTGAACAGGTAGCCACCTGCAGCACAGGAAAACCAACAGTGCCTGCTCATAGCGGGTCAGGAGGGTCTGATGCGGTAAACTATGCAAAGCGCCCCACGCCCGGCACTCACTACCTCCAAACTGTTTGCTGCTGCTTCTCATCGTCATGTCACATCTCATTTCACAGACGAGGACTCAGAGGTACAGAGAGACATTAAGTGATTTACATACCACCTGCAAACAGTCAAGGGCAGAACCAAAAGTGGATGGACCCGGCCTGGGGAGAGGCTGTGTCCCCTGTACCCCACAGCCTTGCTCTGCTGTACAAGGCTCCCTTCACCCAGGGAGCCCCGAGGGTCCCCTGGGCTCTGTTTTCCTTGTGAACACTTGGTAGTTACAATGCGTCCGACCCTAGGCTAAGTGCTTTACATTGCCATCTCATTTAAGGCTCACAAAACTCTGCCTCACTGTTCCACAAACGGAAATGAGGCTTAGAGGGTTTAAATAACCTGACCAAGGTGACACAATAGGAGTGACAAGGCTGAACTTTGAACTCCAGTAGTTGGCTTCCTGAATCCATGCTCTTACTCAACGGGGAGTAAAAACATGGCAACTTTAATTTAAATATTAATGTCTTTCCAACATTAAATCACTCTTGTTCCATCAAGAATACTGGTATCATATGTTCATTTTACTCATAGACAACTCAGTGTCTGCTGAATCAACCAAATCGCAGACGAACTCCAGGTTTGATTCACTTTGATCCAATCTAAGTTTCGAAGACAATCTGCAGTGTAGGTGGCAAGAAGCACTCCACACTCTGAGCAATAACTAAAAATGGGCACAAAACCACTGCCACTCTAAAAGCAGGCTGTCTGGTCCAGGCTGCAGTTCCCTCAAATCCCACCCAAGCTTTGCCATCTGATGCTAGCAGGCCTTGGTCTTGCTCCCTGAGAGAAAAGACACTCCTGGGCTTCTCCCCAGACCCTCAAGATGAGCCCAGTACCATCCACAATTCCTCTCCTGAGATTGCAACATGCCTTGCCAGCCTCTCCCTCACCTTGCCTCTCCACTCTGCACTGCTTCCTCAAGAACACTCCTTTGTCAAGGACTGCAGAAGCATGGAGGGGCTTCCCAGAATCACCTGACTCAGGTATCATCACAGACCCCACTCAAGGCACCTCCACGCTTCTACAGGGCACCAGAGCACTAACTGAAGCACAGGCCTCCTCTCTGCAAGCCTTGCTCACAAGCCCTCCCCATCAACAACCCACACTGCTCTCTGACCTCCCTAGTCTCACCTGACCCCAGCCCACTTCCTCTTTTCCTCCAAGAAGCCTGGGGAAAGCTACAGCATCAGCTGCCACCCCTCCTGCACACTGGGAACATCTGTGTGTCCTGTGCTGGTGGAACTGTCACTGAGATGTTCAATATCCACACAGGTACCAAATAGACTAGGAAACCTTTTTCTTTTTTCTCTGTTTGTGCTAGGGACTGACCCCATGGCCTTGCACATGCTAAGCAAGCCTTGTACCAAGGAGCCACATCCCCAGCCCTGGGGACTTTTTAAATGTCCCTTAACATTCTATTCCTTGCTATTTACTACCCAAAACTCAGAAATCACAGAAGATCCAAACATAGCATCTGAACTGGCTCCAGGAATTCGGGAGCCACAAAGACCCAAATGGTGGGGACTGCACAGCCTGCCCTCCAACCCAAGAGTGATACAGTCATGCCTCCAGAGGGCACTTCCACTTTCACAAGAAAAGGCCTCATTCAAGACTTTCACCCTGACCTCGCACCTGCCCTAGGGGATTATAGCCTTTGCAAAGCACAAGAGTTACATGCATTCACTCATTGTATACGTACCCTTTATCCCTCCAACATTTCCAGACCAGCAAAAGAGCTCAACAGATTCTGGTAAGAGTAACCATGCAATAAGCATTTATTGAATAGAACAAATGAGGAAGCCAGAGGGCAGGCCCCCACTCGTACCTGTAGCTCCATGCAGAGGAAAATCCAGCACTGTGCACCCCTTATCTGCAAGTGAGGAACCAAGACCTCACAAGCTAACATGCTTTGGGAGAGCCCTGGCGCTGAGAAGGTGCTATCCCGAGAGGAGCAGTCCATTCTTTATTTTTGGGTCTCTGGAACCATCTGCAGGCCTGGCACCTACATTCCCCACTGTGGAAAGCACCTTTTCCCACCACTAAATAACTGCTCTGGATGAGGGCAGCAACTTTGAGGACTTCGGTGTTATTTCCTAGCACAAATCCATCCTGTGGACACAAGGCCTGGTGCACTTCAGACTTAGTCTATAAGTAATACTTTGTTTCACAATCAATGTTATTCTGAGCCTTGTTGTTTGCACAGGAGACTAACCTCAGTATTTCCTCCTTTATGACACTCACTTAGATGAGGCCAGAAATCCGGAAGACTCCCGTGCCAGAGATGGCTTTTCATGTCACTTCCTGGTCTGCACTGAGCAGTACCTTCCCATTTCAGCATAAATCACAACCTCTCCTTAAATGAGGGGAGAGGGAAGAGAAGAAGGAAAAACAATAATAATTTAATACTATCAAACAGTCATGCTCACTCGCCACTGTGTTTGAACTATAAGATCTCCCTTCAGCACAGAGCCCAGGAGGATAGGATTTCAGAGACACACAGGTAAGTTGTCCATTTGGCTCACAACCTAGTCAGTGCCACTGGAATACATGCTTTGGGGGCAGGGACCAATTCCTGCCCTGCTCAGAATCACAAGCTCAGGGACCATGGCACACAACATGGGCAGAATTGATTTCCAATTCAACCAGGAGTTCCCATGCTGAGGTAAAGGGACTGGTGGCTTTTCTTGTGTCCTTTCACTCAGGCTTCCAGTGGCTTAGAAGAGCTTATTTTTAGCTAGTTTTCATACACAGAGACTGAGCTGGAAAAGCAGACACAAAAGAAATTACATCTTGAATACTTTGTTGAAAGCTAGTTTCTAGAAAACTAGAAACTTGAGTTTTGAAGATCAGCGAATATATTTAGTATCAGATGCCTATATAGTAGGCTTGCCTTATTTGTGGTATTACCTGCAGTACTGAGCAGAAAAAAATTCCCACATGCATATTACACAGCTCAGTTGATAGGGAAAGCTCTCAGCCCCACGTTATTGTCAGTTGTGTTTAAACTCTAGGCATTCTGTGTATTTGGAATTTTTCTTCAAAGTTGTCTCTTTGGAACCTTATACCCATGGCTACCAAGGATCTACTGTACATAATTATATAGCATACTTAGTGTAACAAATCTATACATCCATCTAAACAACTTCAATCTTTCAGTGTCTGTTATTTACATGTTTTAGAGGTGGAATGGGGGTCTACAGAAAAGGGAGAAAACTAAAAGTTTAGTGTAGTCACTAATGAGTCCTTAAAGGAGATTCTGTTAGAATGTAATAAAAGAGGGATGGAAAAAAAACCCTCAAAGAAATCAAATGCAAACCCCAGTTACAAAAAAAAAAAAAAATTAAAAAGACAAATTGCTAGCATGAGCCTGCAAATGTCCTTCATCAAACCAGGGAAAAGCGAATGTCTGGCAGCTTTGAAGAGTCAAAAAAGACCTCTGCCCCATCATGCAGACTGGACTCTGTCCATCTCCTAGCAAGGTTCCCCTAACCCTCCTGAACCAATAAACACTTCTATTTGTCCTTTCAAGATCCATTACTATTTTGTTGCCCAACAATTCCCTCTCAGGAAGGTTTTTGTTTTTGTTTTTTGGGGGGAAGGGTGGTTAACTCACACAAGTATAATACTATGTTGTAATTCTCAAAGTATCTTCTCACAGATCACTTTCTTTAGTGATTTCACCTCCCCCGTCTCTCCCACTGCCCAGTGGAAATACATTCAAATAAGAAAAAGCAATAGTGTCTAAGAGGTTGGATCTAAGGACTTTGAACCAGTTCTGAGGGCTCAAAAGCATATCATTTTGCAGATAGAGAAATCAGTCAGAAATGCTACTTGCATTAGTTACTTTTCTCTTCACTGTAACAAAAAAACCTGATATAAACCACTTCAAGGAGAAAGGATTTATTTTGAAACATAGTTTCAAGAGTTCAGTTCATGGTTGTGGGGTGGGGGGGGAACATGGTAACTGGAGCATGTGGCAAAGGAGGTTTTCATCTCATGGTAGAGAGAGAGAGAGAGAGACAGAGAGACAGAGAGACAGACAGACAGGAAGAGGGGCCAGGGACAAGATTCCCTCCAGATCTGCTCCCAGTGACTTACTCCTCCAGCTAGGTTCCACCTCCTAAAGTTACCTGAACCTCCCAGCACTACCAGCTGGGCACCAAGTCTTTAATACATGAGCCTTTTTGAAGGAAGCTTCATATCCAAACCCTAACATTACACTTGCTGAGTCTCCCAAGTTAGGAGACCACAAAACCCAGAATAGAGCCCAAGGCTGTTTGTATTAAAACTGCACAACACCAACACAAATAAGATGCTGCTTTAACCACAAAAAACAAGTACCCTTTCTCCTTTGTCAAGGCTGCCACATAATCTTTAAAAACTCAGGAAATAAAAAGCTGCCTCAGCCTGATATGGTGGTACATATCTGTAATACCAGACAGACTCATGAGACTGAGGCAGGAGGATTAGGAGTTCAAGGCCAGCCTGGGCTACATAGTGAACCCCTATCTCAAAAGGAAAAAACAAAACAAAACAAAGCCTCTTCAGTAAATATCTCAGTATACTCAGCACAGCCTAGGACCAAAGATGGAGCAGATTTGCCAGCCAAAGTGTGAGTTTTCACCAATTAGCAAAGCTTCCCTCAGTAGCAGAGGGCCTGCTTCTACTACAGCTGCCACTGAGAAGACTCCACTTCGCAACTTAGTCCACAAAGCAAGACACTGTCCAGAGATTTTCTCTTATATTTGCTTGTTTAACATAATGCTCCACCTTCTTACAAAAGCATTTAAAACTGGTTCTTTGATACATCTGATAACTCTCAATTATTCAAGCTGTTTTTTTTTAATGTATAGATTTTATGCATTCTAACTTTGTCTCCCTCTCATCCTTGACTCACAGGTAGACAATCACCTATAATCCAGAAGTGAGTCTGTAACAGCCTTGGTATGGTCAAACTCAGAAAATCCACACGAGGCAAAGCTAAGTCTATTTCATCACATACATATTCCCTTCCTATTAGTACCTGCACTGGCCAGTGCAAGAAGCCAGGTTTATGGAGATGTCAGGTGGGCAGAAGGAACTGCTGCTGAAGGAAAGCACGTCTCTCTGTCCCAGCTTCAATCCTCTCCTCCTAAGGTGGCCTTGGATTGCCTCTCCAAGCCTCAATGACATGTGAGGCAGAGGTCACTGGGAGGAGCAAAGCAGCTCAGAATGAAAGTGCTTCAGCTTCACTCAGGTAAGGGATCACTTTAATTGGAGAAGCCCTCTGAACTGTCCAGCGGGCCAGTCTGCAGGATAAGCAGTTTGTGTCCAGGTGCTGGCCAGGAACAACAGCCTCGTCTCTTGATCTCAGGGCAGCACACGGTGCCTCTCCAAGATCACACAGTCCTAAAAGTGCTTTTCAGCTTAGAGTACATGTGGGAAAGTGCTTCCTCCCCTTTCTAAAGACACAAATGATTTTATAAAGTTCTTGATCAGAGACTTTTCCTCTGTCTCCCTAGTGCATAATAACCTCCTTGCACCTTCTTAATATTTAGCATATTATCTGACCCAGAACAACACTACTGAGACCTCTCGCACACTTGTCACTGTTAACATACCTGTTAAATCAAACCAGGGTGAGCTACAACCCAGACAAACCATCAACCTCTAAGATAGAAGGCTAAACCATAACCAGATCTCTTGAGCCCTTCCCAAAGAACTGTAAGAATTACCCAAGTAACACAGACAACAGGAAATCCATCATAGGTGGGTCCAAGAAAGGAGGAAACAAGATAGGTTTTAAAGCTCTCTGGAATTATTTAGGATACCAGAAGCTGATCAGAATCTAAACTACCATGTTCGGAGCCCAATGCAGTACAGTGTGAGAAACAGACTCCAATAGGGAATTCACCCTTCATACTCAGGGACAACAGTAAAACATGTGGCCCCTGGCTCCTCCTGGATTCCACAACACACTTAATTCAGTTTTCACTGCAGGCTTGCTGAAATGCTTCCTTTGTCTGAAAAGTGTCACTCAGGACTGGCGGAGTGGCTCAAGCGGCAGTAACAGCACCTGCCTAGCAAGTGTGAGGCCCTGAGTTCAAATGCCAGTACCACAAGAAAAAAAAGTGTCACTCGATGGTTCACATAGTCCTCGAGACTGCTGTTAATAATAGGTGGTGACCCTAACTAGCACAGGCAGATAGATATAGGTTATCCACATGTTCAGATACAAAAACTGCATTATTTTTAAAAATAGAAACATTTAAGAAATGCCTTCCCTGATGTTCAGAGACCCTCCATTTCCATTTTCCAGGTATCTGTTACCATTGCTATGTGGCCTCAAAGTGAGTTTTAGCATTCCAGACAAGCAATGGGAAACACTGTTTTTACAACCACACAATAAACACACTATGTAAAAAGTGCCACAGGAAGTATACATCTAAGAAGTTCTAAGGGTAAAATGGATAACTCTTAAAAAAAACCAAAATTACAGAAGAATCCTTTCCATCTAAACTGCTTGCTCCTACCCAAAATAACTCCCAGAATCCAAGGTGACAAAGATTCCTGCCACCAGACAGTCTACAAAGACAGCTTCATCTCCATCTTCCTTTCTGCCTGCTGAAAACCGGCCCTTCCAAAAAAAAAAAAAAAAAAAGCCAGTCTACTTATTACCACCCAATAAAATCCTTGCTTTTTAATATTTCTAGCAAATGAAGAGTGAACTGTGCTGCTTCTCAGGCAGTAGCCTCCCTGAAGACAGGGGCCCACTCTGTTCTGCAGTATAGGTTCCTAGCATACTAACTGCATCTTAGGAACCATTTGAACTGACTGACAACTCAGGCTGAAGAAGGACAGAGGCAACAGGAAGATACAGAAGACCAATACTTTTTTAAACTTTTCTGTGACAACAGAAAGAAACACATTCTGCAATTCCTGATACACTCATGTGTGTATATAACTGAAGCAAGTGTCAAGAAATGATACTCTGGGGAGAAGAGGGAGAGGAGGGATGCAAACATAATGGAAGAGGTGAACTTGTTCAAGGTAAATTATCCGCATAAATGGAATTATCACAATGATGAAATCCCCTCCTATTATTAATGTATGCTAATTCAAAAATTTAAAAAATAAAACTTATAAATGACATTTAAGTAAGAGCTTTAAAATAAATTAAAAGGGAATAAGAAAAAAAAGACATGACACTCTAAGTGCAACACCCTCTGATATTTTCTATTTCTTTTTTTTTAAATGATGGCCATAGTTGAGTGTGGTGACTCCAGCACTAGGGAGTTTGAGGCCACTCTGGCCTTAAAAAAAAAAAAAAAAAGAGCGAGAGTGAGGGGGAGAGAGAGAGAGAGAGAGAGATGGCTATAATCTACTGAACTGATTTCCAGCTCACTGGTGGGACTCAGTCTGAAAAACAATGCAGTATACCAAACCTCATAGCTGCATTCCACAAGCTACTAATAAACTCTTCCTTTTTGGTGGTACTGGGATTTGAACTTAGGGCTTCGTGCTTGCTAGGCACTCCACAGCTTGAGCCACGCCCCCAGGCACTAAAGAACCCTTAAAAAGCCAACAGACAGCAGAGACACTGACCAACTACAAGAAGGAGACACCCCAGATAAGCAGTGTCCTGTCCAGCAGTGGCTACAAGGCACTGGTTTAAATATCTCCCACCCTGCCAGCAATTCCCAAGTAACCCAAGGTGACTCTGTTTACGCTCTTGTAACCTCCTTATAAATTCAGTCCACTCATTCTCCAGGGTGGCAAAGTTCACATGCTGCCCACCCACTGCAGAAAGCAGTACTTTCTTTCTACCCACTCCAGGAACCCGAAATTTAACAAGTTGTGTCTTTGTGATCGTATTTATGTAGCGATATACAGAAAGAGTCCATCTGTCTCCCCCTTTACATCTTCCCAGTCTTAATCACTGCTAGGTGGAGTCTCCGGTGAAATGAGAAGCCAGGGAAACCCCTGGACCTGAGGAGCCTATCATCAGCATGACAGAAGTGAAAGCAAGGACTCACTCCTCACCCCCCAGAAGCGTCTAGCAAACTCATCTCCAGACCAAGTAGGAAAGAGGAGGAGCTGATAAAACTGCAGGAGACGCACCAGAGCGACCGGCCGCAGCCCCCTCCCTCCAGGCCAACGCCACATCCCTGGAAAGGCAGGTGAGCACAGGCCCGGGGAGCTGAAGGCGCAGGGTCCTCCCGCAACCCAGCGAGAGTGGGAGACAGGAGGGTCCAGATCAGAGTTCTCCCTCCAGGTCGGGACCCCTCCCACTGTCCCTCGGCCCCTAAAGGCACACTAATTCTCCCACCCCTGGGAAGCACGCCTCCCCTACTGCAGGGAAGAAAGTGAGGGCGGAAGAAGAGAGCTAGGAATTCGACGCCCCCCTTCATCCCCCACCATACCGCTCTCGCCGCCCCGGAATATCCCGCCGTGAGCCCCACTGGCCAAGCGCCGCCTTCCCCACGCGGCCTCGCCCCGTGCGCCTGCGCGCCAGACCCAGCCAAGCGGGCGGCGATCTGCGAGTGCGCGCGCACCTTGCGTGTGCTGGCGCGGGGGGTGGGACCAGCGGGGCTCCGCCCCCTCCTCCCCTCCCTCCTCCCGCTCCCCCTCCCCCATACGCTGCCGCGGCCGCCGCAGGAGCCCGGAGCTCAAGCCGCCCAGCGACTCCCCCTCCCCCTCCCCCAGCCCCGCCCCGCCCCAACCCGGGGCTCCGATCTGGAGCGGAGTCTGCGCCTGGGGGTGAGTACGCGACCCCTTCCCTGCCCCCTCTTTTTGCTCGGAGGATCCCACCACCACCCAAAGAAAAAACCCGGACTTAGCTGCGCGTCCCCTCCTTTCAACCTCCTGCGGGACCCAGAGGTGCCCGGGCCCACGGGACCCAGCGGTGGCGCGCGCTGCCCCCAAACCCGAACCATCCCTAGCCAAATGTGAGTCCTCCGACCCCTGTCAGGGGTTCAGATGTGCGCCGCCCTCTGTACCCAGCCCCCGGGAGATTCCATGGGGTGGGACCCCCGTCCTGGTCTCCTAGTGTCACTCTTTCCCACCTGCCGGGTCCAGGTGCGCGGCCCTTCCGCACCCCTCCGGGGTTCCAGCTGCGCCCCACCAACCCGTCGTAGCTGTGGGGAACCGGCCGCCCCCGCCCCCGACTTTTGGATTCCGGGGTCTCCAAGTCCGATGCCCTCGGTGTCTTTTATCTTTTCTCCTGTTCCGGGGCTGAAGCTGGCCTGGGGCAGGGGTTCAGGCTCGGGCCAGGACAGGGTTCGCGGGTGCTGGCACAAAGCCGGTCGCTGCCTCGGGCCCTTCTGGGGACTGGTCGGAGGGCTGGAGAGGCGGCTGGCCCCGGCAGCGTGTCCTCTCCTTGCGCCCCACACAGTGCAGTTCATTCATGAGCCGCCCCGGCCTGCGTTGGAGGGTGCGGTGGGGAGAAGATTCAGACGCGAATCCCGAGTGGGGCAAAGGCCCTGTTGGAGGGGGAGGGGGCGCGCTTTGTCCCTCCTGGCTGTCTTATCCACCTAGAACGGACTGTCCCAAAGCTTGTGGCCATGTTCCCTCCAGAAAACAACAGAAGGAAGCTCGGGAAGTGGGGAGGAGAGGTCAGAGGGGCTGGCTGTCCTTGGCGGTCTGTACTGCCACCTGCCTTGCTCCCCTGTGTAGAGGTCTGGGCTCTCAGGGCACTCCTGGGCACTCTACTGCCCTGGGGGCTCGAGCCTCCCTACCCAATACTCTGGCCTCTTCCTGGGTCTGCAGCAGCCCAGGAAAGAATGAGGCTGTGCCCAACACTTCCTGAGAGGGGGTCCACAGTCCTGCTTCCAAGGCACAGGTGAGAAGGGGAGTTGGGAGGGTTTTCGGCATGATTGTCCTCTGGGGCACCAGAGGGTGCATGCTGGGGCCTGCTGTTAGTCCACTCAATGCAGTCTTGGTTGCGGGTGAGTAGTAGGTGAGTGGGGATGTTTCAAGGTGGTAGGTAACTGAGAACCCCCTTTTGGACATCTTGCAAGTTCCCTCCAAGTAATAGCAGAGTGATGGAGACCTGGGTTCAAATCCTAGCTCTGCCATTCTTAAGCTGTGTGACCTTGACAAGTTACTTAACCCATCTGAATCTCTGTTTCCATTTAAAAGTATGGTCACTGACTCCTTAGGAGGTTTGTCATGGGGATAAAACAGTATAACACAGGTAAAGAGCCTGGCAGTGTGCCTGGCAGTTGGTCAATAATGGTTTCTCTGTCTGAACTTCTGACCCATCCTGGCATAGCTCCACCTCCCCTGCCCCTACTTCCCAGCCTGCTGCAGGGGGATGGGAATGTTCAGAGAGTTTGGGAACAGAGCCCCTAACAAAATATAATCCCTTAGGCCTAGACAAGAAATTGACCTGTGTGACCGAAGGCCTTTATCATATATGATATCACATCATATCATATTATCATCTTAAATTCTGTTTTCTTTTACTTTGACTTTTACCAGTTTTCCTCCACCAAATCAACCCCTTGTATTCCACATCTTTTAAAATAACAACAGCTGTTGTTTCTTTAGAACCTAATGTATGCCTTAAACTATATTAAGAGCTTTACATCTTCTTTAATCCTGAAAATCGCCACACTTCTGGTTTACTGTCCCCATTTTACAGATGAAGAAACTGAGGCCCAGAGTGGTTAAGTAATTTGCCCAGGATAGAATTCAACCCTGTCTCATCCTAGAGCCTGTGTGCCCTTACCTACCATACCACGTTGCCTATTTTTGGCACCTGCCTCAGAACCTAAAATCACAAACCCTAGGCCTGATGCAGAATCTTGGAGATATGAGCAAGAGGAAAGGCTAGCAGGTAGAAAGGGTGTGGCATTTCTCCAGACTGGCACACCCTCAGCTCCCTGGTGGGAATGACTCCTCTCTTTGCAGGGGCAGCACAGTACAGTTCTGAGCATAAAGTCCGGCCAGGCTGCCTGGGTCCACCCTTGAACCTACCACAGGCTGGCTGTCGCCGTGGGCAAGTTAATATACCCTTCTCTTGTACCTCATTGTCCTCTGGGAGCAAAATTAGTTACACATTCAAAGTCTTTAATGCCTTGCACAAAATAAGAGCTAAATAAACCAGACGTAGCTGGGTGCAGGTGGCTCATGTAATCCTAGCTACTCAGGAGACAAAGATCAGGAGAATTATGGTTCAAAGCCAACCCTGGGCAAATAGTTCACGAGACCGTATCTTGAAAAAAACCATCACAAAAAAGGGCTGGTGGAGTGGCTCAAGGTGTAGGCCCTGAGTTCAAACCCCAGTACTGCAAAAAAAAAAAAAAAAAAAAAGCCAGACATGGTGGCACATATCTGTAACTCCAGTAATCAGGAGGCTGAGGCAAGAGGAGGACAAATTCAAAGCCAGCCTAGGATACATAACGAGACTCCCTACTCAAAAAAAATTAGATTTTGATAAATGCATTCTCTTACTACTACTTTTTCCCCCCTTGGCAGAATTGAGGTTGGAGCTGAGACTTGGGGTCTCTTGCTTACTAGGCAAGTGCTCTGTCACTAGAACCACGCCCCCAGCCCTTTTTTACTTTAGATATTTTTCGAATAGGGTCTCACATTTATGCCTGGGCCAGCCTGGATCGTGATTCTCCTATTTATGCTTCCCACAGAGTGGGATAAATTGTGCCCAGCTTTGTTTTTTGTTTGTTCTTGTTCTTTGTTTTTGTTTTGTTTTGTTTTTGGGTTGAGATGGGGGTCTGGAGAACTTTTTTTGCCCTGACTGGCAACAGAATACCTAGGATTACAAGCATGAGTCACAGGCCCTTTCTACAGGCTTTTCTCTTCATTTGTACGTATATTTTTGTCTATCTCAGTAGGGGCTGGGAAGAAGCCATTAGTATCTCTTTGTTACAGATTGGAAGACTGAGGCCCAGGTTACATAGTAAAAAGCCAGTCTCCATTTTACTTTCTGCTTTCCTATGATGGAAGTCCTAAATTAAGTCTTCCCATTTTCTCCATAAAAAGAAACTCTTGCGGGTCAGCAGTGGCTCACAACTGTAATCCTAGCTACTTAGAAGGCTGAGATTTGGAGGGTCATGGTTCAAGGCCAGCCTGGGCAAATAGGTCCCAAGACCTGCCCCCCATCTCCAAAATAACCAGAACAAAATAGACTGGAGGTGTGGCTCAAGCGGTAAAGTGCCAGCTTTGCAAGCATGGAGCCCTGAGTTCAAACCCCAGTCCCACCAAGGAAAAAAAAGAAGAAACCCTTTAACTTAGGACTCCCGGACCCTACTATGCCCACATTCCTTAATGTAAAATTACAGCCTGAATTTAGCTGACTGAAACTCCACCACTACATACTTCCTCAGTGTCACACGGCTGGCCGGGACATGTCTATAGAGTGGGCGAGCTGCCCCCTGCTGCCCCCACCCCCAAATACTCTGCCCAGCCCTCTGCCTGCATTGAGAGCAGCTGCCCAGCCCTCTGCCTGCTTGGAGAGCAGCTGCCCTAGAAGTAGCCCAGCAACCCCGCCCCCACAATTAAGAGCTTGAAGTAATTCTACCAGCAAAGCCACCTGCCCATCTCCACCCCTTACCTGCCCTGTGACACTGTGCAAGTCGCCTCCCCTCCCTGGTTCCTGCTTCCTCCCTTATGAATGGGCTTGGTTATGGGACTGTGCTCTGCCTGCCTCTGGTGCAGGAGGATCCGTGCAGTTGTGGAGGGGAGAAAGTGCCATGTGTCAGCAGCAGAAAAGGGACACAGTGATTTCATTTACAAGCATCCAGGGAGACCCTTACAACCCCCCGTCACACACACACACACACACACACACACACACACACACACACACACGAACCACTTAATGTAGAAGCTCCCGGAACGTTCCACCTGCCATTAGAGTAGAGAAGACAGGAACGAAGGGACGACTCTCTGGCCTGACAGAGCCTTGGAGTTTAGGGAGAACAATAAGGATGTTGAGATTTCTGGAGTGTGCTGGAGTTGGGAGTTGAGCCCCACCTAGTTAGAGCCCTCAGCATCTGCCCAAGATCCAACACCCACCTTTAACCTGCCCTGGTGCCCCAGGGTCTGTGCACTTCATGTTTACATACCCAGGCTCACAGACACACCCACAGTCATGTCTCCTCTCAGAGACCAACAACTCCCTTCCTTTCTGTTGGGCTGCCATGCAGACACCTAGGTCCTGCACACAGATGTGCACACAAGCCCATGTTTACACCCACTCACTCACAATCCCCAGTGTCACGGTGTTCTGGCCTGAGAATATTTAGCGAGCGTTTTACTTATGAAGCTTCCAGTCTGCCGAGTCCTGTCCTGGGCACACCTGAAAAGCCTAACATAGTGCCCTGAGAGGCATTCTAACTTTGGAAGGAAGTTGACCTAGGTTGGAATCCTAGGTCCATCATTTGATTAGCAGTGAGACCTTGGGAGAGTTACTTATCGTCTCTGAGCCCTGTGCCCTCATCTTAAAAACAGAACGACACTCAAGTCTAGGATTATTGAAAATGCTCCAGTTATTAAGTTAGTGTGTTTTTAAAAGCAGCTAAAGCTAGAAAAAAGGGAGACATAACAAGCACAGGGCAGTTACTCCTTGAGCCTTCCTAACCCAGGCTTTGTGAAGACTCCCTGGGACCAAGGGAAACACATAAACAACACCAGCTTCTTCCTCCACTGGGGAGCGCCTGCCTCTCACCTGCCCAGTGTGTTGGATGTCAGGAAGAGGGGCAGAAAAAAAAACCCGACACTGGTGGACTAGAGAAACCCTGAGTCACCCCAGGGGGCTGAGGGACAGCTCCCTCCAAAGTTGCAGTCACCTATTTTAGGTTTGTTGTTCTCTCTCTTTGTCTGGTTTCCTTTCTTCCCCAGGGCCCCTCCACACCCCCAGGCAGGGCTTCAGTGTTGTCAGCAGAAGGGGCCCCAAGGGTTGGGCGGGGCTGCTGCTTCTGCCCCTGCTACAGTCACACTTCTCCTCTGCCCTGGGAGCCTCCCCAGGGCCCGGCTCAGCTCAGTCCCCAAGCACTTCCAGAGTCCTGGCATCCAGCTGGCTGCTCCTGCCCCTCCCTCCTCCTCCAGCTCTTCTCATCCACCCTGAGCACTAGGGCTGTGGCCAGTAACCAGGCTAGAGGGCTGGACCCTGGTTGCAGGGGCTTAGGCAGGCTCAGAGGTCGCCGCCCACTCTCCCTTCCTTTACCAATGGAAAAGCTGGCTGGGAGGGCCCAGCATTCCCAGCCTGCCCTGCTCAGAAGGCAAGAGCACAGCACTCTGGGAGTTGTAGTCTTCACACCACTCTGGTGATCCTGGTACAACTAGTTGCAGAGAAAGAGAAGGAAGCTGGAGGCGACCAATGCAGGGGTAGCTAGGGCCGTGGTAGGGAAAAGGATGGGGAGAGCAGAAGTGGCTGGAGCCAGGCACATAACACAAGGCCAGAAGTCCTGCTTTTTGCCTGGCTTCTCACTCTGACCCCATCCTTGAACCTCTTCTCTGAGGACACTAGGGCAGATCTGAAGCTGAAACTTGTTTTGAAACCAGTTACCTTGAGGGGATTAACAGAGTTGAAAACTCTAAGCACATGAAATTATTCCAGTTTTCTTTTCTAATTATTCATTCATTCATCCATCCATCCACCCTGGGGTGAACTCCAGGACCTCACACATGCTAAACACGCACTCTACCACTGAGCCACACCACCAGCACCCATACCACTTTTCTTATAGAAATAGAAGTAGAAAGAAAAGATCAAACTGAGGCAGCTGGCTCCTGGCCTAGAAACCCCTCATCTTAGCCTAAGACGCCTCCTCCATTTTCCCTCGGCTCTGCTCCATCCTTTGCCTGAGATAGAAAGGGGGTGGGGGATGGAGGTAGACAGATTCACAGACACCTTCCAGCTTCACAAAACCAGTCTCCAGTGCTAGCCTAGCATCTGGACTGAGTTCCCCAGGCCCAGGGTGGGGTCACAGCCAGAGAGCACTGAAAGTGAACCCATGTGACTCAACACTCCCCTCCCCAGGCCCTTATCTCCAGGGGCCAGAGCTTCCACCCACCCTCCAGCCTGGTGATCTGCTCTCCCCGACCCCTCCCCATGTCCACCCTGCCAGGGCCATGAGGGGGTTAGGGTGAACCCTGCTGACGGCTCTCCCCTCCCCCAGGAGGACCATGCGGCAGTAGCAGCCATGCTGCCCTTCCTGCTGGCCACACTGGGCACCACGGCCCTCAACAACAGCAACCCCAAGGACTACTGCTACAGCGCCCGTATCCGCAGCACTGTCCTGCAGGGCCTGCCCTTTGGAGGCGTCCCCACCGTGCTGGCTCTCGACTTTATGTGCTTCCTTGTGAGTGCTCACATGCCGCCCCGACCCTTGAAGCCATACCCTGCACATCCCTGGCAGTCACCTCCAGCTCTGACCACTCTCCAGCCTGACCCTGGCTTCTCAGGCCTAACTGCAGCAGGAATCCCCACCATCCAGCCCAAGTCTGGCCTCTAACTATTCACCCAAGCCAGGGTCCTCCCGTTCCTTTTAAGACAAGATTCGCACCCCTCTGCCTTGTCCCCCAGATGTCCAGCAGATAGACAGCGTCTCCATCTATCTACCCTCCTCTTCCCCCAGGCACTGCTGTTCTTATTCTCTATCCTCCGGAAGGTGGCCTGGGACTATGGGCGGCTTGCCTTGGTGACAGATGCAGACAGGTACGGGTCTGGGCCCTCCCCACTCTCCACGCATACACCTTGTTCCACACTGCTCAGGAATAAGAACAAGCCAGACTCCTCTCATCCCCTTCATTGGGGGACAAAGAGGGACTGACCTCCAAAGCTAGCATGGAGGGAGTGCGAGGGCCCTTAGTTGGGCCTCTGTCCCTTGCCCATCCTCAAGAACTCTCCCCTGCCCCTGCTAACCCTGTCTGTTCTCTGTCCCCAGGCTTCGACGGCAGGAGAGGGACCGAGTGGAACAGGAATAGTATGTGGGGTACCAGCCCCTCATCCCCATTAAACTGGCTTTCCTTTTTCTTCTCTCACGCTTCTCTTTTCTTCACGCCAAGTTGCTGGTTTCTTTTTGCAGTTTTCTTCTCTGCAGACTCACATTTCAGATTAATGAAAGCAGGCGGTGTGCTTTGCAGAGCAGGGGGCTCTCCACCTTGTCTCTGCTTCCCCCCTCTGACTCTCTGCCTAAGAGGCCTTCCCTGTGTGCCTCTGCCTTGGTAGTCACTGGCAGGAAATCCCCACCCAGGCAATCTCAGGACAATCATGCAGAGACAAGGTTGAGTGTCACCAGCAGCTTCCTATCCTCTAACAGCTTGTTCTTCATCTTCCAGAGCTCCTGCTCACTCCTTCTGGAGGCCCGGGACGGGGGCAGCCCAAGGAGCCCCCAGGGTCGCCTTTGCGTCTCCTTGTGGTCTCTGTTGATAGGGCTGGAGTTGGAGCTGCAGTAGCTGCTGGCTCAAGGAACAGGGAGGGTAGGGCCCTGCCCAAGAGACATCGTCCAGCCTGTCGTCCATCCCTTTAGGTTCTTCTGGTCCCGCCTTTCTTCACCACCCTATTGCCCTTGCATAATATTGACTCTGTTGCTCCCACGCCCTCTGCTGGTCAATTCTGGAACTGTAGGGCCCTCTAACATTCTCCCTTCAGCCTCCATCTGGGCAATGAAGATACCTTCTCCTGTAAGGCCCACTGCCCAGCACCAGTGCTCCCTGAAGGGAAGAGGTGTGTTAGAAGAGGCTGGGTGGAGGGTGGTCACTCCTGCTTCAGCCTCTGCGCTTTCTGTGCCTTCTGTAGTCCTGGATCTCAGGGTTTCCCGTGCCCACCACCCTGGGACTCTCACTGCCTTCTCACCCAGTTCTGATCTCTTATCTTCCCCACCCCCAGTGTGGCCTCAGCTATGCATGGGGACAGTCATGACCGGTATGAGCGTCTCACCTCTGTCTCCAGCTCCGTTGACTTTGACCAAAGGGACAATGTGAGTATCCTCCCCCAAACTTCTTAGCCTGTTCCCTCTGAAGCAGATGGGCTGGGAAGCCCCTAGCTTGCAATGCCGTGGGGTCAAGGACGCTGGTGTGTGTGTGTGACCTTCTCCTCAGCAAGGGAAGGGACTTGTCTAGGATGCACAGGACAAGTACCCAGGCCAGAGCTCCTGGCTCCCGTTCTGTGTCACAGTCTCAAATTAGAATAGATAGATAGCCCTCACATCTGTGAATTCCAAAGCTTGTTCACACAGTGGAGGTCCATTCTCACCTCTGGTACTGATTAATCCTAAGGTCACCTTTTTCCTTAGATGTGGTTTTTAAAATTATAATGAGCTTTCTGGGCCTATGTAGCAAAACGTAGACTCTTGTGTTGCTCAGAGGTTGCCCACTGGTGGCCCTGGTTCTGGGGGCGGCTGACTCCCTTGGGGTTGGCACTGAGTGGCACTGACCCCTTCAGACATGAAGGTTCACAGCAGTCCCTTTCACATCAGACCCGGCACACAGTTGTTGCCCTCCTGGCCCTCTGTCGTGAGGGTGAGGGTCTGGGCAGAATGTTAATCCTCAGACACTGGGGTGCACCTGTCAGTCCAGCTTAGGCTGGGGTGACCTGCAGCAGCCCCAGCAGAACATGGCTGAGTTGGACTTATGGGTAAGTGTCAAAGTAGAGATCTCACTCCTGCTAGCCAGAAGTGTCCAGATGGTCCTCAGACTCAGGTGGTACTGGGTAGCATGGTCCTACATCTTGGCAGAAAGGTACCATTACCCCATCTTGGGCTAGGGCCTGAACCTTCTTCTGGTAGGAGGTTGGGGGAGGGTTCTCTGTGCCTAGTCCTCCTTGAAGCTCCTTACCCTCTGCCTGAAGGCAGACCCTGGGGAAGGGAGCTCAGGTGGTCCTGGATTTTGGTGCCTCCAGGGTAGACTAGAAGATAGAGGCAGGAACTTGAGCAGCAAGAGTTGCATGTGTACTTCTCTGCTTTTGGCAGCCATGTTGCAAACTCTTCTTACTAGTTGAGGCCAAGGGCCCCTCCTACCCTTAGCTGAACCTGTCTATCCTGGCCCACACGACCACAGGATTTTGCAGGAACTTTTAGCTTGGACTCAAGGCTCCACAAATAACCCAGTTTAGCATTGGGCTTTTTTCTTCTCTGAAGGCAGGACCCTCACTCTCCCTGTCTTTCCCCTCCTCTGGGGCTGAGCTAGTTCTTGCAGTTTTTCTTTAGGGGTAGGGGCAGGTATGGGAGCTGTGCCAAGGTGAGGTATTCTAGAGGTAATTAGAGAATGGGAAGGTGGGACTTGAAGATGGGAGGGGGTTGGGTTGGTGGGCTGGGCCTCCTGCTGATAAACCTCTGTCCCCCCAGGGCTTCTGTTCCTGGCTGACAGCCATCTTCAGGATAAAGTAAGTGAACGATCTTCAAGCTCTAAAGAAAGAAAAAGAGACAAAAAGAAACTTCAGAACCTGTCATCTCCCTACAAAATCCAGAGGCCAGCAGCTTCGAGGGCCTTAGCACTGCTAGCCAGCCCAGGACCCTGCATCCTGCTCCAAGAGACCAGACCATGGGGCCCTGTCCTCTGCTGCCCCCAAATGTTCACTTTATCTCACCAACTCCTTTGTGCCACCCTGTCTAGGGGACCAGCTCTGCCCTCCCTCTCCTAGCCCATGCCTCAGCATCTGTGCAGCCAGTGGGTGGGAGCAGTAGGCAGTCTGGGCATAGCTAGCCAGCAGCAGGCAGGAGCAAGTATCCAGCACACAGAACTCAGGAGATCCAGCCAGAGTCCGGCAGGCAGGCAGTGAGCGCTGAGAAAGGCAGGAAGCTCAGACAGGTCAGCACTGCCATCACCCACACCCTAGGTCCCTCCCTAAGTGTGTCCTTCACCATGTCCCATCTGCCATGGAAACTCACTGGCACGTTAGAAGATGCCGCTGCTTCCCCACTTCCTGACCTCCCTCCCACTTCTCCTTTCTTTCACCATCCCCACTTCTAGGCTTCTTCCCCCTGCTTCCTGTGTTCAGACTTTCTCTTCCTTTCCTTTCCTCTCCATTCCCTGTCTTTCTTTCCTCCCTTCCTCTTTCTGCAGCTCCTTTTCTTATTTCTTCTTTCCTTCTAGCCCTCAATCCCTTCCCTCTCCCTTTCCTTCCTCCTGTCCCAGGAACTGACAACCACACACTGCTGCCTCATCAGTGGGGGCGGTAGAGTGGGTCTGGAGTGGGGTGGTCAGGGCAGGCAAGCTCTGGCCCTTCCTTGTCCTGGTCCTAACTTAATTTCTGTGTTCACCCTCATGGCCCACAGGGACGATGAGATCCGGGACAAGTGTGGGGGCGATGCAGTACACTACCTGTCCTTCCAGCGGCACATCATCGGGCTGCTGGTTGTCGTGGGCGTCCTCTCTGTAGGCATTGTGCTGCCTGTCAACTTCTCAGGGGACCTGCTGGGTCAGTGAGGGCCAGGAGGGCTGGGTCAGGTGACGAAGGACAGGAGGGAACATGCCCTCATCCTGCGATCATCTTCTTCCTCTTCCCACCTTCCAGAGAACAACGCCTACAGCTTTGGGAGAACCACCATTGCCAACTTGAAATCAGGGTGAGGGTGGGAGGTCGGTCAGTGGGGCCAGAAGTGAGGGGAGAGGGGAGAAGGGGCATAATCAGGGGAGAAAGGTTCAGAGATGGCTGGAGACAGATGGTAGAGGTAGATCTCTGCTGAGGACCCTGAAGGATGACCCCTGAAGAAAAGGAGCCAACCTAAGGGCAGGAAAAGCTGACTAGGGGGATTGGCGGAGGGGGGCGGGCACTGTGGCCAGTTGGTATAGCATGAAGAGATGACCTTTTAGGGACATTTCCATGGAACAGTTTGGGGCTGTGGGATATGGGACCCACCTTGCCAGGAGTCGATGCCAAAAGACTGGTGGCAATGGAAGGGTCCCAGCTGCATCAGGTTTCAGCAGTAGGAGGCAGGGGGTGTCTGAGTGGGTCCTACCCCAGTGGCCTCCATGCTTCCTCTCTGCTCTCCAGGAACAACCTGCTATGGCTGCACACCTCCTTCGCCTTCCTGTACCTGCTGCTCACCGTCTATAGCATGAGGAGACACACCTCCAAGATGCGCTACAAAGAGGATGATCTGGTGAGTGGAGCAGTGCCTCAGCCACCCTTCCTGTCCCCCATCACCTCTTCCCTTCCCTGCAGGCCTCCTGGGCCCTCACAGCATCTGCCATGTTTAAATTCTGACTCTGCAGCTCAGGAGCTCCCATCCAGCAAATTACAGGACCTCCAGTGGGCTATTGGGAAGGTGGAATATGGCAATGCATGTGCCCACCTGTACTGTACCCACCCGTGGTGGTTAGTAACATGCTGGTGATACTCTCTTGCCTGATAATTCTAGTAGGGATGTCCCCTTACCTTCTGTACCCACCCATCAAGCCAATACTGAATGCCTACTCCATGCCAGCCACTCTTCTGGGTCCTCGCAGTCTGAGGATCTGAGGGTAATACCCCCAGCTGTCCTGTAGCTCCTCACAAAGTAAGGTGCTGTGTAGCGCTTCCATTGGGTCCACTTCCCGGTTTCTATTAGAAACCCATCCACTGAGACCTGATGTATCCTTAAAGCTCTTTCCATCTTTGTCTGGTCCTCTCTGCTCAGCCCTTCTCCGAAACAAAGTCCCAGCCAGGCGCTGGTGGCTCATGCCTGTAATCCTAGCTATTCAAGAGGCAAAGATCAAGAGGATACGGTTCAAAGTCAGCCCAAGCAAATAATTCAAGAGACAACATCTCAAAAATACCCAACACAAAAAAGGGCTGGCAGAGTGACTCAAGTGGTAGAGTGCCTGCATAGCAAGTGTGAGGTCCTGAGTTCAAACTCCAGTACTGCCAAAAAAAAAAAAGCAAAGCCCCTTCTCCAGCCCTCCCACATCTTCTGACTCTGGTGGCATCAGCCTTCAAGAAAGCAAATCTGCTCCCCTCCTCTCACCCAGGTGAAGCGGACCCTTTTCATCAACGGAATCTCCAAATATGCAGAGTCAGAAAAGATCAAGAAGCACTTTGAGTGAGTAAGCTGCCCCTTGTGCGTCCACACACCCTTGGACTTGGGAGTCTGCAGCAGGATTGGAGGTCAGATCGGGGAAAAGACTTCTGACTCCAAGGTCTGAGTGATAGGCTCCAGTAAGAGCTGGAGAGGTCTGGGGGGGTGTGGCCTGGAGGTGGAACACTTGTTTGGCGTATGCCAGGCCCTGGGTTCAATCCCCAGCACTGAAAAAAAAAAAAAAAAAAAAAAAATCCAGCACTCAGAGGGCTAAGGCAGGAGGATCTCGACTTGGAAAGAGTCTTAAGGAGACCCTGTCTTAAAAGCAAAACAACATGACGAAACAAAACCAAACAACAAAAACAAAAAGGAAGAAATAAGATAAAATCTTGAAGAGTGTGACATTCATTCCCTCCGTCACCCCCAGCTCCTCCCAGCTTGAACTGGGTCATTGGCTGTTGGCCCAGGGTCCATCTGAGGTGTACAGCTTCCTCAAAATTATCAGCAGCTTTCTGGAGTGTGAGCAGATGTGGTGGGAGAAGCTCATGGGCTGTTTGCAGGTTCTCCAGGGCTCTGAGGTTTCTTCAGCTCTGCAAGTTGTCTTGGTGGGGGCCTGAGCCTCATAGAGGGCACTTACCTGGTCCCCCGTGGCTAGGGGTGCACTTTGAGGCCGAGCACCTGAACTCAGGTGGTGAGTCGGAGTTATCTGTAGGGACAGGGAAGGATGGTCTGTGTACACAATAAGGATCCTTCATACACTCATCCGTTCACCCTGACTCTCGTAAGTTACTGTAGTGGGCCTTGGAGCTGTAAAAAATGAACCAAAAGTCATCAAGCTATTGGGTCACACCACGGAGATCAGCTGGAGGAGCCAGTCAGGACTGTGTCATCTCTCATGAAGACTGAGTCACTCTGGCCGGAATTAGGAGTTAGTCAGTGGTCACGATGAGGGACATTTGGGGGTCTGCATCAGTCTTCAGTCAGAATTGGGGTTTGGTTTTGAGGTCTAGATCTGCTTCCAGTTGGCCTGATTCAGAGTTCAGTCATTGTGCCTGGTCAGGATAGCCTGTGGTCCAGTCAGCAATAGGTGTGGGCAGGATTGGGAACAGCTCTGGTCAAGGTCAGGTTCCAGAGCCCTGTGCTGCAGGGTTAAGGATGGTGTCTTGATTAGTGTTTGTGGATGGCTGCTCATTCACACAACATGTATTTATATATTTTTTTCTTTTTTTTTTTTGGTGACACTTGGGCTCGAACTCAATCTACCACTTGAGCCACTATGACAGCTTTGTTTTTGTGTTGGTGTTTTCGAGATAGGGTCTCGAAGACTGTTTGCCCAGGCTGGCTTCAAACCGTGATCCTCTTGATTCTGCCTCCCAAGAATTACAAGCGTGAGCCACCAACTCCTGGCTACAACATGCATTTATTGAGCATTTTCTGTATGTCAAGCATAGCTATATTAGAAACAAGGCCTGCCCTCAGTTTACAAATCAGCAGTCAAGTGGGGAGGTCTGTTAGTCTATTTGGGGTTCAAGCTGTAATCAGCATGTGGGTAGCGTGTGCACAGAGTTCAGTGGCATTTTAATATTGCCATCCAGTTGGAATCAGCTGTCTGCTTGTATGATATCTCTTAAGTCAAATATCTAGTGAGCAGTGTGCTTGCACTGTGGCAGAAGCCAGGTAAAGAAGAAAACAAGAAGAGAGAATCCCTTTGGGTCAGAGCTGGTGGCTTACACCTGTAGTCCTAGCTATTTGGGAAGATCAGGGTTCAAGGACAGCCTGTACAAAAAGTTGAAGAGGCCCTATTTCAACCAAAAGCTGGGTGCGATGGTATAAACTTGTCCATAAAGCAATGAGGGAGGCTGAGATCAGAAAGATCACAGTTCCAGACCAGCCCAGGCAAAAAAAGTTTGCGAGACCCTGTCTCAACAGAGAAGGCTGAGCATGTTGGCACATACCTGTCATCCCAGCTATGGTGGGAAACGTAAAATAGGAGGATAGTGGACAAAGATCTCATTTCCAAAGTAACCACAGCAAAAAGAACTGGAAGTGGGGCTCAACCAATGGAGCACCTGCCTCACAAGCACACATCAGAAAGAGAGGAAGAAAGAAAAGAAAGCCTATCACTCACTTGTGTGCATTTGAGGAACCACATCTGTGATTAAAATTAGTGGGCAGCATGTAAGCAGTGGTGAGGGAGATTCTGGGCCTGACTAGAGTTTTGGGACCGGTGGGCTGAGCGTGTGGCATAGGCATTTCATTGCTCCATTTGTTCAGTTCAGTTCATTGAACACCTTCTCTTTGCCAGCTGTGGGACAAGCAGAGGCAGCCCTTGTCCTCGTCAGGATCCTGAGCTACTCATCAGTGCTCGTCAGGGCTTAAGGTCCAAGCCTGGAGTCTGTCTGCATTGGAAGACTGTCCCAGAAGAACTAGGGAACATTTTGTGTGCAAAACAGGGGGCCTAGGGCTGGGGCCATGGCTTTATGTGGTAGAGCACTGAGAGGGTTTACCATTAGTCTGGTGAGAATGAGAGCTGGGCCTTTCAAAGAGGAAACCTGGAACAGCTTGAGCAGCAACAGGTCAGGGAAAAGGTCTGTAGCCTCTTGAGACATTCGTTTCCAAGGACCCCATCCCAGATTTCAGTTTCTAGATTCCCTGGAGTTTGTGAAATCCATCTTGTTGCTGTAGAACTTTTCATGCTTCTTTAATGCTTAGTGGCCCATCATCAAAATTTTAATAAAACATAAAAAGATGGGCAGGCACTCAGTCTAGATTAAGGACTGGAACAAGGCACAGTGTGCAATGAGACTTGAAAAGTCACTGTTCCTTCACTCAGTCAACAAGCATTCTGTGAGCAGTGCCAGGTGCAAGGTACTAGTGAGGCAGAGCAACCTGTCTCTGGTCGGTCCATCCTGGGTCAGGTTAGGGAGTCAGCTTCAGGCCTGGTGCACGGATCAGTCCCTGACTCCGGGTCAGAGGTCAGATTCAGGATCAGGTTAGAAATCGTTCTGTAGGCAGGGCTGTGGTTTGGTTGGTGTCAGTCCAAAGTCAAGGCCAAGTGTTGGACCAGGACCATGTCTTCTGAGAACAGTTAAGAGAACTTTAACTGTTCCCAGACTGACTAGGAAAGATTCTGTCGACCTCAAGTTCATAGACCTGTACAAGAATCAGACCATGGCCTTGGCCTCTCCAGCACCACACCCAGTTCATCAGCCCATGTGGCCTCTCGCCATCCCCACACACTCCTGCACCACGCCCCACTTAGATAAGCACAAGGAGGAATTTCAAAGCTTTGCTCTTAGGGAAACTTGTAAACAGAGAAGGAGCTTGAGTTGTGTCCTGAAGTGACAGTCATGGGTGGAGGTGGGGCAGGTGGGTGGGTCCCTGCAGAAGATGGCAGCTGGTCTGTGTTTCAGGGAGGCCTACCCCAACTGCACAGTCCTCGAAGCCCGCCCCTGTTACAACGTGGCTCGCCTTATGTTCCTTGATGCTGAGAGGTACTGGGGCTGGGCAAGGGAGGGTAAATACTGCTGTCCCTCTGCCCGTGGTGGCGGGCATCTGGCTGCCACGTGAGAACATGGCTCTTGTTCTGGGTGTTTCTTAGGGCACCTGAACTTGATTCAACCCCCAGAGTGCCTGTTACTTCAGCTCTGGAAAGAGCAAGGCCTGGAGGTTAGAGTGTGGTGACAGGAGAGGCCCCTAGTCCCTACCTACCTTGTCTGAAAACACCCTCATTAGCCACAGTATGAAAAATTTATGCCAGACTATAGAAGAACTGGCCTTCGGAGATGGTGGGGAGACCCCAAGCTGGTGGCATATCTGAACCACACATCCTAAACAAATTGAAGAACAAGACAGCCCTGTCCTTGGGGAGTGAGCTGAATGACCCTCAAGCCAGCCCAGCCCCACTAGGCAGTGGGTGACCAGTGCCTGGGTCCTACAGGAAGAAGGCCGAGCGGGGAAAGCTCTACTTTACAAACCTGCAGAGCAAGGAAAATGTCCCCACCATGATCAACCCCAAGCCCTGCGGCCACCTCTGCTGCTGCGTGGTGCGAGGCTGTGAGCAGGTGCGGTAAGGGCTGGTTACCAGTGGCCCCTCATGGGCCTGGGGAAGGCTAGACAGGTTGTGGCAGAAACAGATGCACCCAGGGTAGAGCCATCTCACCGCCCCAGAACAAACACAAACAGGCACAGTGCACAGGATGACCCAAAGGTAAACAGACTCCCCAAGGAGGCAATGCTGGGCCCCTGCCCCAGCAAGTCCCCACCTGCCCCCAAAGCCCTGGCTCCCACTAGCTACAGTGACCATGTTTTCAAACTGCAGATTAGGTCAGCAAGAGGACAGGGTTGTGGTATATTTACTAAGGCATGATGGCACACACCTGTAATCCCAGCACTGGGGAGCTCGGGCAGGAGGACTGAGAGTTTCAGGCCAGCCTGGGCTGCATAGTGGGATCAAGACTCAGGCCGAGCTTATCGTAGGCAGAGGCCAGTGCTGCCGTGCCTCCCTGCTGTCTTGACAGTGCCTGGCTCTCACCCACTGGCAGGTGGAGGCCATTGAGTACTATACCAAGCTGGAGCAGAAGCTGAAAGAGGACTACAAGCGGGAGAAGGAGAAGGTGAACGAGAAGCCACTTGGCATGGCATTTGTCACCTTCCACAATGAGACCATCACAGCCATGTGAGCCCCTGCCCTGCCCATACCCCCTAGCCCTCATCCCCGAGTTGGAGCTCCCCTGTCCCCTGTGGACAGTGGGGCTTGGCTAGGACCTAGTAACAGGTGTCACCCCTACCTCCCAGCATCCTGAAGGACTTCAACGTGTGCAAGTGCCAGGGCTGCGCCTGCCGTGGGGAGCCACGCGCCTCCTCCTGCAGTGAGGCCTTGCACATCTCCAACTGGACGGTGTCCTATGCCCCCGATCCCCAGAACATCTACTGGTAAGCCAGCGGAGTGGCAGGGGCAGGCTTCCCCAGACCTGCAGGGTGCCAGGGGGTAGGAGGAAGACAAGGAGGGGATGGTGTCACGGGACCAATCAGGCTCAGAGTCCCTGGAGTGACTCCTCTCCCCACCTTCCTTGCCAGGGAGCATCTCTCCATCCGAGGCTTCCTCTGGTGGCTGCGCTGCCTGGTCATCAATGTTGTGCTCTTCATCCTGCTCTTCTTCCTCACTACCCCGGCCATCATCATCACCACCATGGACAAGTTCAACGTCACCAAGCCGGTGGAGTACCTCAACGTGAGCCCTCCACACTGCCAGGCGCCGTGCCAGGCCCCAGCCCTCCCATACGATCCCACACTACTGCACTGCCCAGGGAGAGGCCACCCTGGGGTTTGCAACTCTTACAGAAAGCCCCAGGGAAGAACACGTCTGCGCGCAGTTCTCACAGGCCATGTGACCTTGGCTAAGTCCCTCTCTGGCCCTCTGGCCCTAACTGAAAGCAGAAGGGTTCGAGTAGACCCTTAGCTTTCACACTTAGCTTCTGATCCCTTTATCAGTATGAAACCCAGTGTGCGAAGCAATGCTGCTCAGGTGACAGTAGGGTGGTCCATTCCTGCCTGGCCTCCCTCACCCTTCCTGCCGCGCACACATCGTACCTCCTCAGAACTCAGGGTTCAAAGGAAGATAATTTGAAATCATAGCAGATAAGACCCAGGACTCCTGTCCAAACCCCAACTCCACTACTTACTAGTTGGGTAAACTCAGTTTACTCATCTGTAAAATGTACCAGTGTCATTGTTGTGAAGAAAGCACATGAATGCTTGGCACCTAGTAGGTGTTCAACAAATGGTGATTATAAGTATCGTTACCCTGGGGTTGACACATGGCCCTGACCCCAGCCTCCATCCAGCCCTCCTGTTCTGGACTTCTGACATTGGGTGCTCAACTCAAGTGCCCCTGCCTTACACATCCCCTTGTGCCCCCCACAGAACCCCATCATCACCCAGTTCTTCCCCACCCTGCTGCTGTGGTGCTTCTCGGCCCTGCTCCCCACCATTGTCTACTATTCTGCCTTCTTTGAAGCCCACTGGACACGGTGAGATTTCCACGTGCACACACAGCCTGCAGGGGCTTCTCTAGGTGTACGCCAGCCCCGTTGGGCAGCCCTTTGGCCTTCAGGCTCCCTGCTCTGGGCAGTCCAGAGCTGGCAGGGAAGGGATAGGGAACTGTGTCCTCACCTTGGGGAGATACCCCTTTCCCCAGGGACCCTCCTGGGACACTGTCCTGGTGGGAGAGCTGGTGTGGGGGCCAGGCTCCCTGACCTCTGTCTTGTGCCCTGCCACCTGCTTGCCCTCCCCAGGTCTGGGGAGAACAGGACCACCATGCATAAGTGCTACACCTTCCTCATCTTCATGGTGCTACTCCTGCCCTCACTGGGACTGAGCAGGTGAGTTTGGAGGGCAGGATAGCGAGAGGGGGCAGTTCCAGCTTTCACCTCCTCTACAAAGCAAGGGGCACAAGATGGCAGCCTGGCCACCTTCAGGCCTCCCCATAGGCTCGTTGGGGGACCGGGATGCGCCCACTCCTGGTGGTCTTACCATTCCAACCACCACCACACCACTCTCCTGTCCTCCAGCCTGGACCTCTTCTTCCGCTGGCTCTTTGACAAGAAGTTCTTAGCGGAGGCAGCTATTCGGTTTGAGTGAGTGACTGGGGCCCAGACTTGCTGATGGCAGTGCAGGCATGCCTAAAAGATACTGCCACCCCCATGGGAGGGTGACCAAACTTCCACCCTGGGTGGAGAGGAGAAGGGAGAGGCTGGCACTTTGGGTCTCTGTAGGGTTACACCAAAGAGGCTCTGATGGGGTATCTGGGGTATGTACCTGGGAGAGATCCCTGTGGGGGTGTGTTCAACTTTAGGATTTAAGGCTTTGGGACCCACATTCGGGGGCTTTCTATAGGGGTTTTGGGCTCACTCTGGGACTGACTGTGGGAGCCTTGAGTTTGACCTGGAAGCTTGCTCACACTTTAAGAGTTTGGTTCCCAGGGGCATCCCTGACAGTCCCTGGAGTCCAGACCTTTGAGTATCTACAGAAGGCTCTTGGTTTCACTGCTTCGAGTGTGTATGGGGGTTCTCAGACTCACACTTCAGGGGATTTATGAGGCATGAGTTCTGGGAGCCTCTGAACTTTTGGGCTCTCATTCCAGGTGTCACTGTGGGATTGTCTATGAGCATCTTCCCTGGGAATCCTTGTGAGGGCACACTGGGGGTGCACCATGGCTGAAATAATGGGCAGGGGCTTAGGGGCTTGCCACAGCCCATCTGCATCTGTCTTAGACTCACACATGTGTGAGGGCGGGTCCTCAGGCATTAACAAGTCCTGGAGCTCCCCCCTGGAGATACCTGGGAGAGGAGCTCTGAGGCTTGTCTTCCAGGGCTAACCCTGGGCTAAGTCAAGGTCTAAGAGGGAGAACCTTCTGGGTGCTCCTTGGGGGTCCTTGAGGATCCCACTGAGGTTTGTCTGTGGAGATCTCAGGCAGTTACACCCTGTGTGTTCCTGTCACCTGGTGTCTTGAGCACATTCTCCCTGGGTCTTTCTAGGGCACAAGGTCTAGGGGCACCTGTGGACTCAGTGTCAGCCATGTCCATTCACACTCCGAGGGAGGGTATTAGGCTTGCTTAGGCAGTGTCTTCACACTCCTGGGGGACACTGAGGCCCCCCAGTATTGGGGGGCTCAGCTGGGTATGTCCGTGCGGAAGAAGCACATTGGGGATGAGGGCATGGTGTGCTGTCATGCTGGCAGTGGGCAGGCGGCCACCAGGTCACCCCCAGGGTGCAGTGCTGGAGCACCTGGTGCCCGCAGGTGTGTGTTCCTGCCAGACAACGGCGCCTTCTTTGTGAACTACGTCATTGCCTCAGCCTTTATCGGCAACGCCATGGACCTGCTGCGCATCCCGGGCCTCCTCATGTACATGATCCGCCTCTGCTTGGCGCGCTCCGCCGCTGAAAGACGCAACGTGAAGCGGGTATGGCCGCCTGGGGCAGCAGCGGCCCGCACAGTGCCCCCTGGTGGCCCAGTCAGAAACGGCACATGGGCTAGGCTTGGGGGACACAGAGGTGCTGGGACTTGGGGACTTCGGTTTTCCCATATGTATAGCCATGGCTTGACACAGATGACCCTGGAGATCCCTGAGTTCTGACAGGGTAGTGTTCTTTGCTGGGAGCCGGGAGAGGTACGGCTCTCTAGAGCTAGGGTCCCTCTGCCCTAACTTCCCAAGAAGACTCTGGGCACCCATCCCCAGGTCCTGACAGCTCTTGCCCCCCACTGCCAGCCTCTGGCCCCTGGAAGGCCGCTCCCCATGCCCCATCACTGCCCCTCCCTGACCTGCGTCTCGGCCTAGCCCCTCTCTCCATCTGCTTTGCCCTACCCTTCCCCAGACATTAGGTCCCGTTCCCCATGGCTTCGTTCCGGCCTCCTCCCACCTGCCCTGTCTGCCTGCAGTCTGTCCCCTCCGCCCTGAGCCACGCTCCTGCCCATGTCCCCCCCAGCATCAGGCCTACGAGTTCCAGTTTGGCGCAGCCTACGCCTGGATGATGTGCGTCTTCACGGTGGTCATGACCTACAGTATCACCTGCCCCATCATCGTGCCCTTCGGTAGGCACCGCCGCGCCGGGACCTGGGCCCTGCTCGGGGGAACCCAGGGCCTTACCCGCTCCAATCTAGTAAGGCAGGCCACCCCGAGTGGACAGGGCTCAGGCTGGGAGACCGGCCCCTCCAGCCTCCCGCCTGGTCCCTGGCTCAGTCTGGGCCCGGCCTACGGAAATGGGGAGAGCATCTCAGGATGGACCCACCTGGTGTGCTGGGTCCCCGGGCAGAGTCACTCATCGTGGCCATATTTCCTCATACTGATAACTTTTTGTTCAACTGGAAGCATTTGGACATGTCACCTTCCCCCTGACATCTTACACACACCCACTCACACTCCTACCAAGCATCTTACACTTACAGCCCTCTAAACTCAGGAAACACCTTTGGATTCCAGGGTGGGGTGGTGCTTGCCTCACGGAGCCATCGCTCTGTAGAGGAGATGTGTGACTTGGGCAAGTCTCTCTTCCTTTTTGAAGATGTCTAGCAGAACTTCCCTATAAGTATTATCCCAGCAGTAGCCTTGGCTTTCTCCCAATAACACCCTAGCCCCTCCCTAACTCAATCTGGCTTTTGAAGGCTCCAGACTCCCAAACTAACCTCCCTGTGCTTACTTAAAACTCCCATTTCTTCAGCCTCCAGGAAAATAGAAAGTGTGCCATAATTCATACTCATCTGTTTAGGGATCGGGGTAGAAAAAAGCAAGCTGGGTTTCAAGTTGATCCAAATGAATGGGTCTCTGATAGTGGATTAGTGATTAGTGAGAGCTGCAGGATGAAGGGACCACAGTGGAGGAAGTAAAAGCTCTGTCATCCAGCCAAGGCATGGAGAAATACCCTATCCTGGGGTTGGGGCAGGGACTGGATTTCCCTTCAGCAGTCTTGGAAGGCCAGGACACATGTGGCCAACACACCGAGGTCCTGTGGGTGCTGGTTCCGAGGTCAGGGCCCGTGTGGCTTCTCTCAGGGCTCATGTACATGCTGCTGAAGCACCTGGTGGACAGGTACAATCTCTACTACGCCTACCTGCCGGCCAAGCTGGACAAGAAGATCCACTCAGGCGCTGTGAACCAAGTGGTGGCTGCACCCATCCTCTGCCTCTTCTGGCTGCTCTTCTTCTCCACCATGCGCACGGGTGAGGGCCACTGAGGGCTCCCCCTTGAGGAGCTGGGTGGGTGGCACAAGGGATTCTTCATTCAGAGGCAAGGTAGAATTAGCCACAGCCAGGGATCACAGGCCAGGGGCTTCAGAAAGGTCCTGGTGAGGGCATAGCACATGGAAGTGTGGGACTGCATTCAGAAGGCACCAGGAGCAGTGATCAGTGAGCTCCTTGGAGGGATCCCAAAGGACAGGTGACAGCCTCATTCTCTCTGTTCTCCCCCCTCCCCCATGTACCAGGTTTCCTAGCCCCCACGTCCATGTTCACATTCGTCGTGCTGGTCATCACCATTGTCATCTGTCTCTGCCACGTCTGCTTCGGACACTTCAAATACCTCAGTGCCCACAACTACAAGGTGTGGGGTGAGGGGGGTCTGTGGGGTGCAACTGTGAGCAGAAGCCCCAAGGGCTCAGAGTGGGGCAGAGGGATGTTAAGGGTTGGTGCTGAGAGAGTATGGGGCTGAGGGCAAGGGCTTGCCCCTCCCCCCCAACTCATTCTGGGTCTCTCAAGATCGAGCACACGGAAACAGATGCCGTGGGTCCCAGAAGCAATGGACGACCCCCCTCTGCTGCCGCTGTCCCCAAATCTGCGGTGAGTGATCGATCGGCTCTGCTGCTGGGGGTGGGGGGAGGCTCTGAAGGAGACTCAGCCCCAAAGCAGGGGGTCCCATTAGTCCTCCAGAAAGATCAGCCTGCTCCAGACTCCAGGCAGTAGGGAACAGGGCTGGAGAGACCTGACTTCCCTGGAGGCCACCCTGCCTTTCCCCTGGGGCCTAGTCTCTGCTATCCTGCAGGCCCTAAGATGTCTGTCACCTCCACCCATGAGGGGTAGCTGTTTTTCTCACCCCTACTTCTCTTGCCTTCAGAAATACATCGCTCAGGTGCTGCAGGACTCAGAAGTGGACGGAGATGGGGATGGGGCTCCTGGGAGCTCGGGGGATGAGCCCCCATCGTCCTCATCCCAAGATGAGGAACTGCTGATGCCACCTGATGGCCTCACGGACACAGACTTCCAGTCTTGCGAGGACAGTCTCATAGAGAATGAGATTCACCAGTAAGGGGAGGGGGGGCCCTGGAGGCCCCACCCTGCCCCGCTCACCCCACCCCCACGGACACTAAACCGCTAATAATTTATTAGATCTAAAGCCCTTCCTTCCCATCCCCTGCTTTCATTAAGGTATTTAAACCTGGGGATTTCACCACTCTCCCCCACCATGGAGGGAGGGAGGGAGCCCCCCAACCTCACTGAGGAGAGCCCCGAGCCGGCCCCGGGGCAAAGAGGGGTACGGAGGGAGCTCCCCCAGATCAGCCCCTCTTCCAGTAGTGTTGCCAGGAAAAGGTTAATGAGAGCCAAGAGGGGTGCCTGGTACCATGGCTGGAGACCTGAGGGGGCAGGCGAATCAAGAGCTGCCCCCCCAGTTCTTTCCTCCCCTCAGTTCCCACAGGGTCTGGCCCTCCAGGGACCTGGAGTTTCCTGCCCTCTGGGATGCATGAAAGGGGTGGGGTGCTGGATGGGAGGAAGTCAGGCCCTAGCCAGGGGGGGTGACCTGGGGGGAGGGGGCATGGCTGACACTGGAAAATGGGTTTTTGCACTGGTTTTTTTTTTTTTTTTTTTTTCCTTTAAAATAAAAACAGAAAAGCTCTGAGGCAAGTGTCCAATTTGTGCTGCTGCCCAGGACACAGGCTGGGGGCTGTCACCCCACCCTCTTTCCCTCTTTCCCCCTGGAGAACTGTTCCCAGTAAGTACCACATGAGCCTGGGCAAGGAAGTTCTTGTTCAGGGTCTCAGTTTCTGCATTAGAGAGAGGAGAGAAGGGAGCTTGGGGATTGACTTCAGGGGGCTTTTGCTTAGGTTGCCCCACCCCAGCTCTGCTCTCTGATGGTCCTGAGAAACCCTGAGAGCAACACAAAGAGCGGGCTAGGGAGAAGGCCCTGCTGAGCACCTCAGAGCACCTCTCCCCACCCCCACTTGTCTCCAGGGGAGCCCCTCCCCACCCTTCAGTCAGAACCTACTGTTCTCAAGACCCGACTTCAACTCACCTTCTCTGAGGGGTTTTCTGTGAGCCTCTAGCCCACCCTGCAAGGCCACATGGATTGCACACGTACACATGTACACACACATACATGCACACACATGTACATGCACACAAAGCATGCTGTGCATGTGCAGCAGGGGCCAGAAAGCTTTGGTTCCAGTCCTGGATTCTGTCACTCACCATGCATCCCTGAGAAAGCCACCTCCCCTCTCTGGACCTGTTTCCTTAATAAAGTCAAAAGTGTACGACCAGGTGGTCTCAAAAGCCCCTTGGAGCATCCTCCTACCCAACCCCACCTACTGCCCACCAGCAGGAAAGTAAGTAAAAGAACTCCCAGAGTGGGGTAGGGATGAAGGGGGAGGGGACGGACAGGATGGGGAGGAAAAGTACACACACCATAGAGGCCTGCAGATAGTCATCAAGAATGGAGACAGTCTGATAAAGGCCTGATAAAGATTGCCCTGGCGCCAGTCAGAAGCAGGAGCAAACAGTGCCCAGGGTCCCAGCTTTGAGAGATGTCACCTGCAGGGAAAACCCAGTCCAGTGGCCAGTGTTCACTGTAGCTGTCTGTGGGTACAGGAATAGGCCTGCCCTGTGGAGGTGGAGGTTGGGGCCTTGGTCCTGACTGCAGCCACATGAAACACGAACTCCCAGGTGAAGTCCCCAAAGTCCTGGGGCCAAGGGAGCTGCCAGGCCAAGGGTGGGAAACAATGCCAGCTGGTGTGTGGACAGAAACTGTCAAGGCTCCAAAACAGTCTTGGTTATGGGAAAACTCCAGTGCTCTTAAAGCCTCTTTTCTGTTTAGGTAGACAGACTCCACCATGCCTGGCAAGCCCCAGTTACGACTGGTGTGCACAAGGTAGCCAGGACACTCAGCCCTGGCCCTGGCCGGTGTCCCCTCTGGGCTCCTAACCTGCACAGCATGCCTCACCTGCCCTCCAGGAGACTCTCCCCTAGGCCCTCCTTAAGAGGTCTCCTGGCAGGGTCCAGAGTTCAAAGCCAAGTTCAAATGTTTAGGGATGTGAAACCAGGTAATGCCAAGCAGCACACAGAACGAAGGTGCTGAGGAGACCCTCCCAAGGGTAGGAGGCTATAATGGAGGAGAAGGCCCAAGCCCAGTACCCCCTGCCCTGACACCTCATCGAACAGCTCAGGTCAAGAAGAGGAATTGCAATACAATCCATTTATGAATTGTGACAAATCTTTATTGAGTAGGAGCCTGGTGTCCAGTTCTGTGCTAGGTACTTTAAGGCACAATAGTGAAGTCATAGAAGGGGGAGAGGAGACTACACAGAGCCCCCAAATCCACTTTACTTTCTCTTTTCATAGCTGGGGCAATAGGAGATAATGGATAAGGTCTGCAGTTTGATGGGGCTGGTCTCACACCTGCAGCTCTAGCTACGCAGGAGCCAGAGATCAGGAGAATCTCAGTTCGAAGCCCTGTGCAAATAGTTCTCAAGACCCTACCTCAAAAAAATTCATCATAAAAAACAGGCTGGTGGAGTGGCTCAAGTGGTAAGAGTACCTGTGTAGGGAAAAAAAAAAAAAAAAGAAAAGAAAAGGACTGACTCTTAATGGTGAAATGCCAGCTCAGCCACTCTCGTGCTGAGTGACCTTGAACAAGTTACATCAAGCCCGTGGACCTCACTTCCTCATCCATCAAGTGGGAACAGTGATGCCAAGTCTTCAGTAAGCAGAAAGAGCACAGAGGCCTGAATAAACCAATATTCTTATGGATGAGGAAGTTGAGACCTAGAAAGGGGGTAGGGGAGGACCTGCCCAAGGGTAGCTCTTGTTACAGCTTGGATTCCAGGGCAGCTTGAGCATCTGCTCTGCCCCTGCTGGTGCCAGAGGGCACCGAAGGTTACTATGTGGCCTCTGCAGTCCCTGTCCTCAACAATCACACACCCCAGTGAAGACTGTACTCTAGGACAGATTCCAGCTCAGAACTACACCCTATCCCGTGGAGAGACATGACAGTCACACCAGTGGCCTCATCAAGCAACGACAGTACTGTGGGTTGACTTGAATGCCTGAAAAGATGTTTAAGTCCCAGCTTCAGATCCTCAGATGAGGACACACACAAGGACACCACAAGGTGCCTTTGTTTGAAAAAATAGCATCCCTGCAGATGTGATTCACTAAGATAGGGTCATATCAAAATGGGTTGCCACAGGGCACCTGTGGCTCACACCTGTAACCCTAGCACTTGGGAGGCTGAGATCAGGAGGATCAAGGTTTGAGCCCAAGCAAATAGTTCTTGAGACCCCATTTCCAAAATAACCAGAGCAAAATGGGCTGAGGCATGACTCAAGATGTAGAATGCCTGCTTTGCAAGCGTGAAACCCTGAGTTCAAACCCCAGTCCCACAAAAGGAAGGAAGGTAGGAAGGTGGGAGTCCATTATAAGTGGGTATCTTTATAAGAGGAGGAACATGGAGAAGAGAATGCCATGTGAAGACAGTGACCCAGGGAGAACTCTACGTTGGTCAAAGGTGGCTTTTGGAAAGGAGAAGGCTTTCAGGATAGAATGCTCAGGTTGAGGTGACAGATACACCTTCCAGGAGGCTGTAGGCTGAACTCAGGGTGAGATGTAGCTTGAAGGTAAAGGACCTACCTAGCATGCATGAAACCCTTGGTTAGATCCCCAAAACCAAAAAAGAAAAAATGTGAGAGAGAGACTCAGCTTCAGAGAGACTCAGATTTGCCCTAATGGAGATGACCCTGGCGGGAGCACCAGGTCCCTGTCCCCGCAGGGATGGGCCTTGGGACTAGCAGATTAGAAGGGGCTGGGTTATTGGCAGCCCTGGTCAGGGGAGGAGACCCAAATGGGAAGAAGGAGAGAAGGGAAGGGAGCTTTGAAATATACCCCTGACCCACAAATCCCACTGGAATTGGAGCGTTCTGGAGTGGGGGAGGGGTGACCATCACTCCCCCTCCCCCCAGAACCCTCAACTGTCAAGCACAGCTCTAGCTGCCTGCAGTCAGCATGCTGTCCTTCCCAGGTAGGTGCTGATGGAGACCGTTTCATGTACCTCCTGGCCTCCCCCCAGACGTGGGGCTGTGATTCCCTTCAAACTGGGTGCCCCGTGGGACTTCACCATCAGTCTGGGTGCTCCCTAACGGCAAGAGCTGGGCCTCTTCCTCAGACCATTTGGGAAAGAATAGGCCACTGATGGTCAGACTGGTGGTAGGACAGGGCAAGAACCCTTTTTCCTTCATTTTACTGTGGGGGAGTGTGAGAAGGGCCAGAGAGACAGACCATCATGGCTGCCAGGAAAGGGAGGGAAGGGCTTATGTGAGGAAGGCCTGATCACTCTCTGGAAAGTAAACCTCAGGGAACAGAGAAAAGCAGAACCCTCAGTACAGAAAGACCAGTTCCTAGGAGGGTGACAGGAGCAGACCTACCTGGGCAAAGCCCTGGCTTTAGGTCTTGGGAGAGTGGAGGGAAGGGCTGGCAGAATTGAGCTGTTCCCATGGTGGTAGGTGCTCAGAGGACAACCAGCCCTGGCCAGCAGAGGGGCTCAACCCTGTCCCTCACGCCGGGCATGTGGGCAGGGGGTGGGGGGGTTAGGAAATGGGTCACTCTGAGGCCATTGGCCCCTAGACCAAGCCTCCCAACTCCTGGTCCCATGTCATCTATCTGACCTCTTGAAGTTTAGGCCTCATGGGAACCCCAAACCTAGTCACCCAGTCCTTGCTCTTTCAAAGTTCCCTGAGGTGACTTCTTAGTTTCCTCCCAGCTGCTCCTCTAGCTGTCCTCTAATTACACTACGTGTGTTTTGAAAATTGCTGAGAGAGTGTCCCTGTCACCACAAAGGTAAGTATGAGGTGACGCATCTATGTTCAGTAGCTCAATTCAGTCATTTCACAATATATACACATTTCAAAACATATAGTACTTGACAAACACATACAATTTTTGTTAATTAAAAATAACATTTAGGGTTTTCTTTTCTTCTTTTTTTTGAGACTGGAACTCATTACATAGTCTGGGCTGACCTTGAACTTGTGTTCCTCCTGTCCTGGACTCCTGAGATTACAGAATTGTACCACCACACTCACCTAGATTTAGTTTTGTTTTGTTTGTTTGTTTTTAAATCTACAGCTAGTGTGATGGGCTGTAGGGTGCATTTTCATGATGATGGTACGACAGTAGGGACAGGATGTGCTCCCAGGACACAAAGCTTCCCCCCAATCCATTCAGCCCTAGCACCTGCCTGAGTTTCCCAGACTGGCCTTGTCTGTCTGTCTAGCTGCCCATCTCCCCAGCCTAGGTGACCAGGCTTGGGACTGCCACACTTCTACCCTCTCAGAGGTGATTGTCTGGATGACTTGGCAGCATGTAAATCTCCCAGCACTGAGACCCACGCTCAGACCCTGGAGACTGGGATGCAGGTTTTAAGCAGGGTTTGGGAATAAGAAAGGAGAAATGACTCCTCGCCTGGGAGATGACCAGAGGCCACAGGGCAATGAGAGATAAGACTGACTCTTCACCACCTTGGTCTACCTCCCCACCGTGGTCTCTAGTTTCCTTAGACACCAGAATCTTCCATGGTTCTCCCAGGCACCCAGGAGAGCTGGACACACTGAACCCTAGGGCAACAAAGGAAGAGGTCTTGTGGAGACGCCTTGTAGTGGAAGGGCACCAGGCAGTTCACCTCACTGTGTGGATGGCCTGAGACCTTACCCTTCGTGGGGGCTTCAGAACCTCAGCAGGCACTGTTGACATTCAGGCCGGATAATTCCCTGCTACCCCAAGCACTGGTAGGACATTTAGCAGTCTCTACCCACTAAGTAACCACTCTCCCGTTGTGACAACCAAAAATGTCTCTAGACATGGCCAAGTGTTCCCAGGGGGCATTATCGCCCAGAATGAGCACCTCTGTCTTAGCCTCTGCGGGCAGGGCCTGGGTTCCTCCAGGTGAGACAAAGGTCACTCATGACCTATGGCTTCACAAGCAAGGATCAGAGGATGAAGTGGAAATTTCAGTTCTCATCCCTCTTGGGGGTGCTCCTTCTCCTCCTTCCCTTCCCTTGTGAGTGCCGCAACTCTGAAGGGGGCTCCGACATTCATCCCCACCAGGCTTCCCCCAATCATCTCTTTGGACAAAGAAATAAACTATTTATTTTCTCTCTCTCTCTCTCTCTCTCTCTCTCTCTCTCATACACACACACACACACACATACACACACACACACACACACAAACACACACATACCTTTGGCCATTTCCCCAGAATCAGAGGAAACTTTTGCTACCCTTTCTAAGACAACCGAGGGCTTGGGTTGACAGAGAGAGAGTCTGTAAGAAAAGGAGGGGAAAGAAGAGGTGACACTCCTAGATTCTAGCTCTACCCACCCTCTTCAGCATCTCAACCCTCATCCTCATGAGCTCAGTTGCCCTCTGCCCTAAAGGCAGTGGAATCAGCTTAGATCAGGGCAAAGGGGACAGTCACTCCTTCCAGATCCTCCTGGTTATCCCACCCAATCTGGTGGCCTTTCCCTAGCCCTTGTCCCTGTCTCTGTGGCCCATGGACCCCTCCCTGGGGAGGGACAGTGGGAAGAGTCCTCTTGAACAACACGGGGAGTATGTTCACCTCAGATTCTTAGTGCCAGCCCAGAACAAAAACTGAGCATGGTGGCATGCACCTGACATCCCAGCTATGAGGGAGATGTCTATGGGAGGATTGAAGTCCAGGCCCACCCAGGCATAAACTAGAGAACCAATTCTAAAAATACCCTAAGCAAAAAAGGGCTGGGGACATGGCTCAAGCAGTAGAGCTCCTGCCTAGCAAGAGCAAGGCCCTGAGTTCAAACCCCAGCACCACCATCAACAACAACAACAACAAAAAGGTATTGGGTGGATAAGGGAATCATCCATATTCAGGTTTGCATTTTAAATATCTCAACCAATGCTGTGGGAGCCTGGGCGGGGCGGGAAGCAGGAGATTAGAAGAAAGGACAAGTTAGGATATTATTCTGGATTTTCAAATGACTTTTGCCGTTTACAGTTAACTTCTTGAGTAAGTTTTGTCTTCAGCTAGAGAAGCTGAAGCAGGTGAAGGCCTTGCTGTTAGCAGGTGGCTGGCCTCTGAGTTCACTCACCACCTGCATGAGGATCTCCACAGGAGGTCCACCTCTGCATGGTGGGCAGGTGGAGGAAGAAGTTAGGAGAAAAGCTAAGGAAGGGGGGACTTCCGACAATGTGAGGGCTGCTGGGGAAGAGCACCATGGGCGTCTAGGAAAGCCCCCAGGTCTCCGGCCTGGGGGATGGCAGAGGAAGAAAATGAGCTGAGTCTTGGCACATGCTGGGAGGGGAGGAGAGGGTGGACAGAGGTTGAAGAAGGACTGTCTCTCCTGGGCAAGCAGCCGGTGTCCCTGGGCCTGGACCACTCAGGAGTGTGTCCCAGGGGTGGATTACAGTTTGGAATAGCGGGCCCAGGGCTGGAGGAAGCTTTGGAGACTGACTTTATCCTTCTGGCAAAAAGAAGCCCTGGAAGGTGCTAGAAGAAGGAGGGAGTACAAAGCTTCACACAGAGGGGGCAGATGTGCTGTTTACCTGGAGCATATGGGATGAATTGGAGAGGTCTTCAGAAGCCAAGAGCCCCTTTGGGCTCCAGGGGGTGTCTAGAGACACTGGCCAATGATAGTGATGGTAGCAATGGGAAATTAGGGTCTGGCAGGGGACTTGCCTGTAAGGGACTCAGTGGCTATTTTAAGGTGGGATATGGACAGGTTGGGAACTTTCGGAGAATGAAGAGTAGGAGGTCGTTACTGGACCTAAGGAAGCCCCAAGGAGGCACTAATGGGGATCAGGGGTAGTGGAGAGAGTAAGGCCTATCAAAGAGGAAAGTCAGAGACTGGAGGCATGGCTCAGTTGGTAGAGCACCCGCCTAACAAGCCTGAAGCCCTGAGTTCAAACCCTAGTACCACCAAAAAAAGAAGAAGAAGAGGTAAGTCACCTGTGGATCGAGTTAATGAAGATGGTACCGGCTGGATTGGCCCTCAGCTGGAGGAAGGCCAAGCAGGGGGAGGTTCCAAGCTTCCTCTGGGGGCATACAGTCAGACTTCACTCCTGTGACCTGGGACAAGCCACTCAGCTTCTAGGCCACTGCTCCCATCTCTGGTAATCAGGGTACTTCAGGTCCCCATGTCACCAGGCTGTTATACCTGGTACAGAGTGGTGTCCAGGACTCAGCTCTGCTGAGACAAGTGTCTCCTTGTTCTGTTCACTCCAAACCTGGGAGGAAGGGTAACTGTGACCCCGGCCCTGCCTCTGAGGGCTCCATGAGGTCTCACCTCTGCCAATCCCTCCTGCACCTCTCAGGCAGTGTATACTCAGACCATGTCCTTTCTCCTGTACCTCCTCCCACCCCACTGAGAACGGGGGAGATCGAGGGAGGACAGGTGCATGCACAGAAGGGCTTGAGATTCAGAGTTGATGAAGGCTCTGTGGTCGCACCTCCTCTCTTCTCTTCTGCCCCATCTCATTCCTGGGCCTGCTCTACAGGGTGGGAAATGATCCTCTGGAAGAGATACAAGCAGATTGCAGTCCCTATAGGAGCAGCAGTGTGGCAGGGTGACCTGGGTCCCCAGCTGCCTGGCTGACCCAGGATCTTTCAGCCATCTGATTTATTCTGAGAATCCCCTCTCTCCCTCCCCCAGCCATTCCCTAACCTGGACTCTCCCCCCATCCACTGACCCATCCCAGCTGCCCCTTCTCCCCACCCTCCTGCCTTCTACACGTCATTATGCCCACTCTCCCCAGAAGTCATTGTTCAGATGGTGTGGAGGCCATTTTCAAGCAATTTTATTGAGATGTAATGTATATACTGCACAATACACCCATTTAAAGCCTAGAGCTCACTGGGCACCTGGGGCTCATGCCTATAATCCTAGCTACTCAGGAAGTAGAGATTAGGAAGATGGAGGTTTGAAGCCAGCCCAGGCAAATAGCTCTTGAGAACCTATCTCAAAAAAAAAAAAAAAAAAAAAAATCACAAGAAAAGGGTTGGTGGAATGGCTGAAGGTGAAGGCCTTGAGATCAAGCCCAAATACCACTAAATAAATAAATAAATAAAGCCTAAAACTCAATGGCTTTTTAGTATACAGTCAGCCTTCTGTATCCATGGGTTCCTCGTCTGCAGATTCAACAAAACTTGGATTGAAAAAAGTTTTTAAAAAATCCAGAAATTTCTAAAAAGCAAAACAGACTTGCTACACTGTGTACCACTCAGAATCCATGAAAACCAGGTGGTGTGCTCTAGGTTACGGGTAACCTAGAGATGACTTAAAGTAGACAGGAGGATAAGGATGTGGGTGGGCTATATGCAAATACTGTACCTGTTTGTTGGTTGGCAGTACTGGGGTTTGAACTCAGTGCCTTGTGCTTGCTAGACAGGCACTGTACCTCTTAAGCCATGTGTCTAACTCAACTCTACCATTTCATATACGGTATCCAGTGTCCTTGGATTTTGGTAGTGAGGGGGTCCTGGAATCAATCCCCCAAGGACACTGAAGGACAACCGTACTCACAGAGTTACACATCCATCACAATCAATTTCAGATCATTACCTCCCAAAAGAAACCCCACTAGCTAACAACTTCCAAACTCCCATTTCTCTAAACCCTAGGCAAACACTGACCTACTTTCTTTTCTTCTTTTTTTTTGAGGGGTGGTAAACTTTTTATTATTTTATCTATATACATTAATTGTGCATATTAATGAAGCTCCATGTGCTACTTCAATACTGCATGCAACACGCACAGATCAAATCAGAATAATATTCATCTCTGCTTAGAGCCTTCAAGCTCTTTGCAACTGACTTCTTTCATTTAGCAGGTTAAAGGTTCATCTTTGTGGTAGCATACGTTGCTACTTTTTTTTTGTGGGACTGGGATTTGAACTCAGGGCTTCACAATTGCAAAGCAGGCACTCTGCACTTGAGCCACACCTCCAGCCCATTTTGCTGGGTGATCTTGGAGATGGGAGGGGGTCTCTCAAACGATTTGCTAGGGGTCTGGCTTGGAACCAGAATCCTCTGGATCTCAGCTTCCCAAGAAGCTAGGATTGCAGATGTGAGCCCCTGACGCCAGGCCCCTTCATTTCTTGTTGTTGACTATGTACTGCACTGTAGAGATAGCCTGCAGTTTTTGTCTATTCAGTATTCAAGGTTTTTCCCCACTCTTTGGCTATTAGAAATAATGCTGCTATGGACGTTTTTGTACAAGTTCTGCTGCGGACAGGTATCTTCATTTCTCTTGGGCATACCCTAGAGGTGGACATGCTGGATTGACTGGTAAGTCTCTGTGTCACCCTCTGCAGGCAGTGCGTGAGGTGCCACTGCCTCACGGGCTCTTAGCCTCCGCGTTTTTCACTGTAGCCACTAGTGCGTGTGAAGGGCATTCCTGGCGGTTCTGATTTGCAGCTCTCTGACAAGTCACAACGCTGAGCTTTCTTTTACTTGCCTACTGGTCATTTGCATATCTTCTTCTGGAAAATACCGTGCCATTCTTAATTGGGGTATTTGTCTTTTTATTATTGAGCAGAGTCTATTGTTACTGACAAGGGAATGGTGGTGTTCATAAACCAAAGCCGCCTCAGGGCCAAGGGCGTGGGTCAACACAACAACGCCAGAAACCACAGGAATCAGAGCTTTGAGGAGCTGCAAGCCGCCTGTCTGAGGAAGGGGGAGCTGTTTGAGGACCCCTTATTCCCTGCAGAACCCAGTTCTTTAGGCTTCAAGGATCTTGGTCCCAACTCCAGAGATGTGCAGAACATCTACTGGCAGCGGCCCACGGTGGGCACTTGGAGGGACAGCCTGGGCGTGGGGATAGTCAGCTCATATAACCTCCAAGCCACCCCCTGTCCCGCCCTGCACTAGGCCCCACCCACAGCTGAGTTGGGGCAGTTCTGACCAAGCTTCAGCTCAGCCTCCCAGCTTACTCTCGCTTGGTCAGGCGCAGGCCCTGCGCCTCCCCACGCCTCCCCATCTCTTCCCCTAGAACTTGGAGCTGGTATCACCCCCAGTAAAGGTACAAAGGAGGTAGTGAAAGGTACAAGGGAGGTATGAGGGGAAGTGCTGGGCCCCTTGACCTTTATTTCTTCACCACAGGAGATCACAAGCAACCCCCAGTTCATCACCAACCGGCTCTCTCCCACCGATATCTGCCAGGGGGTCCTGGGTGAGTGGGGAGAGGGAGCTTGTCTCTACTGGGGGACAGGGAGGCCAGGGCTGTGCCTGGGTGTCTTTTGAGACTGGAAAACCGGGACCCCCTAGGTTCAAGCAACATGTTTCTGTGTCCCTGTCCCTCTCTGCACCTGCCCGATGTCTGGGTTTGGGGTGAAGCTGCAGTGATGTATTAGTGATTTATTGCTAAATTACCCAAGTCTCAGTGACTTAAAAAAATAACAGGCTGAGCATGGTGGTACATCTCTGTAATCCCAGCTTCAAGAGGTTGAGGTAAGGGCTGGTGGAGTGGCTCGAGTACCTGCCTAGCAAGCATTAGGACCTGAGTTCAAATCCCAGTGCCACAAAAAAAAAAAAAAAAAGAGGCTGAGGTAAAAAGACTGTGAATTCGAGGCCAGCCTGAGCTACATACCCAGACCCTGTCTCAAAACAAAACGACAAAGCAAGTGGGCTGTGATCTCTGAGTGCTTGACTAGGGCTGGTGCCCTTCTATCCAGATGGCTGTCATGTGACATGAGGCCTCAGTACCTCCTTGGCTGTGGGTAGGAGGACCAGTTCCTGGCTGTATAGCCTCCTCCACAGTGTTGCTTGAATGTCCATATAGCACAGCAGCTGGCCCCCCAAAGTGAGTGATGCAAGAGAGGACAGGGAGGCCACAGGGTCTCCAAGAAGTCACACGCTGTCACGTCCACCATATTCCATTGTTAGAAGCAAGGCTGAATCTGAGCCACAGGCAAGAGGAACTGGGCCCCACCTTTTGAGGGGAGGATGGTCAAATATTGCGGGCGTATCTTCACACCACTACAGGTGCTGGAACTCCTCAACCCAGGGCATCAAATAAGGGAGCGGTAAAGTCCACCTGGTCCACTACCCACAGTGGCACATCTTCCTCCCCAAGCCAGGTCCTGCCCCGCAGTTTCCTCCAACCCCATCTTGCCTCCCTAGGGATGAAGCCAGGTGGGCTTCTTCTGGATCTTAATTCTGTTCCCACTTGTAGCAGAGAGAAGGGCAGAGCGTCGGCAAGGCAGAGACCAAGGAGACCTTAGACCATTGGCCACTGCTGTGGCTCCCTGGGCTGAAGGGCGCTGGGCTCTAGTGGGGAAATGAGTTTCTCCCTCGTGTCCGAATGCAGCCAAAGTGTCCTTAACCTTCCTTCCTGCCCTCTGCCTCCTTGCAGGCAGAAGCTTCCCAGTGCCCCAAAGCTCAGCCGGCCTCCGTGCCCACACAGGCCCCACCTGCCCTCTGGCCCTCCCAGGAGGGCTGACTCTGGGAGGCAGCTGGCTGTGGGTGATTCATGGCACTTTCTTCCAAAGGCTCAGACCTGGGACACTGTTCTGTGCCCATCCACAGCCAGCTTCAGGGACAGACAGAGCCCCTGTGTCTGCAATAGAGAGTAGGTGACATGAGGAAGATATTTTGGGCCCTTTGTCACTACACCAGTGTGGCCACTGGGTAGGGAAGGTGACTGGGTTTGTTCAAGGCACGGGCTTGTGTTGGCCCTCTCTCAGAGAAAGGAGACCCCAAGGAGGGAAGGAAGACCCTGAGGTCAAAAGTACCTCTTTTCCCAGCTCCCCCACACCAAGGCGTGTGGCTCTGATTTGTGACTCTGTCACCTAACAGAACAGGTACAGGTGCTCACCTCTGCGGAGACTGCCCCCACTTCAGTTTTCCTTCCCCAGCTTTTTTTAGCCAGAGGGCTGGGTTCCTGCTCCTCCAGGGCTTGGACTTAGGGACCCACCCACACATATCGGGGTGCTCCTGCCTTTCAGGGGACTGCTGGCTGCTGGCTGCCATTGGCTCCCTCACCACGTGCCCCAAACTGCTGTACCGTGTGGTACCTAAGGGTCAGAGCTTCAAGAAAAACTACGCTGGCATCTTCCATTTTCAGGTGAAGGGCAACCTGAGGGTGTGTGTGAGAGAGAGAGAAGGAGAGAAAGAGAGAGAGAGACTCCATATGTGCCTTTTCTTTTTAAAAAATAATATTAAGTTGATGAGGGTGACTTTTTGTGTACTTATCACAGAAACATCTGCTCGTGAAAGAAATCATGCAAGCTAAGTTTTACGTCCCAGAGGGAAATAATTATCAGTGTGTAGCTCTCCTCCCTCTCCTTTTCCCCTTCTCAATACTCATGTATGCACTTACGTGTGTGTGTGTCTGCCTGTGTGAACATGACATTGGTACTTAAAGAATTTTTGTGACCCGCCCCTTTAATTTAGTAACAGGAGGATAATTCCCCATGTCATAAAATATTTCTGAGAATTATAGGTGTTTCTAAGACCTCAGGGAAGCCAGGTGCAGTGGTGCATTTCTATAACCCCAGCACTCAGGACACTGAGGCAGGAGGACAGAGTGTACCAGGCTAGCCTAGTACGAAACAAACTAAAAAAAACCTCAGTGATCCTAACCTCCAGCCATCTTTTTTCAGGGGAGGGCCTAGGTCAGAAAGTGGGTTGGGTCCCCTGGAGGCCTGGAGACCCAGCAGTGGCCATGACAGGATAGGGAAGAGACCTGTGTCTGTGGGTTTGCAGCCATTCTAGGGAGTGGGACTAGGGAGTGGGACTCTGCCACTGGTGTGTTAGTGGGCATGGCCACCAGGAGGCGCTAATACAGCAGGGCTCGTGTGTGTGTGTGTGTGTGTGTGTGTGTGTGTGTGTGTGTGTGTGTGTGTGTGTGTGTGTGTGTGTGTGTGTGTGTGTGTGTGTGTGTGTGTGTGTGTGTGTGTGTGTGTGTGTGTGTGTAAGTGAGAGTGACTGTGTGCCAGTGGGAGACCCTCCTGGCTGAGGCCTGCCTTGCTGCCCACAGATTTGGCAGTTTGGGCAGTGGATGGACGTGGTGGTGGATGACCGGCTGCCCACCAAGAACGACAAACTGGTGTTCGTGCACTCGTCCCAGCACACAGAGTACTGGAGCGCCCTGCTGGAGAAGGCGTATGCCAAGTGAGTGCCCACAACAGAAGCAGCGGCATCAGGGAGGAGGCAAGGGAAGTCAGGGTCTCCCTCCCTCCTTCCCTCCCTCCCTCCCTCCCTGCCCTGCCCTCCCCATCCAAACCGTGCAACATCCAAAAAACGCCTCCTCCCCAAAGCCCAGCTGTGCCCTCCCTGTGCCCACAGGCTGAACGGATCCTACGAGGCTCTGGCAGGAGGCAGCACAATGGAGGGTTTTGAGGACTTTACAGGAGGGGTGGCACAGAGACTGCAGCTCCAGAAGCCCCCTCGAAACCTGCTGAGGCTCCTCCGGAAGGCCCTGGACCGATCCTCCCTCTTGGGCTGCTCCATTGAAGTAAGCCATGTGCCTCAGGGACTTTGCACCTCTCTGGCTTTCGCCCACAAGTCTCTCTCCCAGATATCTGCATGACTAGCTCTTCTCATCCACAGTTCAGCTCAGTTCAGTTGCCTCTTTCTCAGGCCAGCCTCCCTGCCTCCCAGTCTAAAGTGGCTATGCCTGCCTGGTGTACTGTCTACTTTGTTTTGATTTTCTCCCCAACATTTACTGTGACCTGAGATATCTTTTTTTTTCTTTTTTTTTTTTTTTGCAGCATTGGGGTTTGAACTCAGGGCCTCACACTTGCTAGGCAGGCGCCCTTACTGCTCGAGCCACTCCGCCAACCTCTGAAATAGCTTATGTGTGTATCTGTTCATAGCCCGTCTTCTCCAGACAAAAGGGAGATTTCATGAGGCTAAGTGACCTTATGTTCCGTGGGACTTTGGAAAGGGCCTAGCATGCAGCAGCCGACCAACAAACGTTTGTTCAAATAAATAAGTAAACCCAGAGTGCTATCATAGGACCTAGCAATTGCACTCTTGGGCACTTATTGCAGAAAAATGAAGACATGTCCTCACAAAACCCAAACATAAATGTTTATGATAATGTTGTTCATAATGGTAAACCAGCAAACAGTCAGACGTCCCTCAATGGATGAATGTTTAAACAAACTGTGGTGATTACGACATGGAATGTTACTCAGCAAGAAAGGAGCAATTATTGATCCCTGCAGTGACTAGGATATTTCTTAAGGGAGTGGTGCTGAATGCAAAAAAGCCAACCACAAAGGCTGCACACCTCATGGTTCTGCTGGCATGACCTTGAAATGACAAAACAATAGATACAGATTGGGACTGGCATAGGCCAGGAAAGGAGACTAGTGAGAAGAAGTGGGCATGGTTTTAAAAGGGCCACACAAGGGATGATTCAGGAGAAGGACACGTCAGGACTTTGACTGTGATGGCTGATACACAAAACTACACATGTGGACCAGGAGCAATGGTACATGCTTGTGATCCCAGCTACTTGGGAGGCAGAGATAGGTGGATCATAGCTTGAGGCCAGCCCAGGCAAAATTTAGCAAGACCCCACTTCAAAAATAAGCCTGGAGCCAGGCGCCAGTGGCTCATGCCTGTAATCGCAGCTACTCAGGAAGCAGAGAGCAGGAAGACCGCAGGTCGAAGCCAACCCCAGGCAAATGGCTCCCAAGACCCTAACTTGAAAAAACTCATCATAAAAAAGAAAAAAAGGCTGGTTTCGTGGCTTAAGGTAAAGGCCCTGTGTTCAAACCCCAGTACCCCCAAAATAAAAATAATAACAATAACAATAAAAATAACCCTGGGCTGATGGAGTGGCTCAAATGGTAGAGCACCTGCCTAGCAAGCATGAGACTCTGAGTTCAAACCCCAGTGCCACCAAAAAATACATAAATAAAACATAAGTCAGGCATGGTGGCACAGCCTATGTGGGAGGTGGAGGTAGGAAGATTGAGGAGTCTGAGGCCAGCCGCAGGCAAAAGATCGAGACCCTATCTGAAAAGCAAACCAAAGCAAAAAGGGCTGGGGACATGGCTGAAGCGGCAGAGCACCTGCCTAGCATGATCAAAGCCCTGAATTCAAATCCCAGTACCTCACAAAGAAAAGAAAAGAAAAACTACACACGTGATGAACTGCGCAGCACACACACACACACACACGGCCACTGACAAAGCCGGGGAGATGTGTGTAAGGTGTCAGATTGCACCAGTGCTAACATCCTGGTTTTGGCATGGTACTTCAGTTTTGTAAGATGCGACTACCGGGGGAAAACTGGGTACAGGGAACACAGACTCTTTCTCTGTGCATTCTTTCTCACTGCTGCCTGTGAATCTGTAATTACTTCCAAATAAAAAGTTTATGAGGTGGAGGCGTGGATCAAGTGGTAGAGCATCTGCCTAGCAAGCACAAAGTCCTGAGTTCAAACCCCAGGACTACCAAATAGATACATATATAGTATATATAAAAAAAAAAAAACTCTACAAAGTTGTCACCTTTCTGGAGGTCCTCAGGCCAGATCCCAAACTCCTTCCCTTCCTCTCTGCTCTGCAGGTCAGCAGCACCAGTGACTTGGAGTCGATGACACAGAATATGCTGGTGAGAGGACATGCTTACTCAGTGACTGGCCTTGAGGACGTGAGTGCTGACCATGGCCTCCTCCCACGGACTGGGGAAGGAAGTGCCTCGGGCCTTATGCCTCCTGCCCCTGAGCCAAGCCCAACCTTTCTTCCTTCCCTCAGGTCTTCTACAGAGGCAAGATTCAAACACTGATTCGGGTCCAGAACCCCTGGGGCCGAATTGAGTGGAATGGAGCCTGGAGTGACAAGTAGGTCCCTTGACCCAGATGAGGGAGCAGTGTCTTGAAAGCTGCTGCAGGTTTAACCAGGGACCTCATAAGGCGGCCCTTGGGGACCAGGGCTTCCCCTCATCGTCCTCTCCTTCAGCTGCCCTCTCTCTGCAGTGCCAAGGAATGGGAAGAGGTGGACCCCGACATCCAGCACCAGCTGACGCACAAAAAGGAGGATGGGGAGTTCTGGTTGGTGTGGCTGGAAGATCCTTCTGACTCCCCCACACCTGCCTCCCATCTCCCCTGCCACCTTCCCCACTGTGTCTTGGACGGGGAGGTTCTGGGTCCCTCCGGGGTCCGGGGCAAACTGATGGGTGCTGTACTGCACCGCACTGTAGGATGTCCTACCAGGACTTCCTGAGTAACTTCACTCAGCTGGAAATTTGTAACCTCATGCCTGACGCCCTCTCTGGGGACTACAAGACCTGCTGGCACACCACCCTCTACGAGGGCAGCTGGCGGAGGGGCAGCACCGCGGGCGGCTCCAGGAACAACCCAGGTAGGTGAGGTCACAGTGTCAGGATGCATGAGGTCAGGGCCCATCAGAGCCCACCACCCTCTGCAGAAGGCAGGCCTGTTACTGGCTGGGCAAGCTGGGCCACCCCCAAGGGCAAGGGCAAGGCAGTGCCACCTCACCATACTGATTTGCTTCCTCCACAGACACATTCTGGACCAACCCCCAGTTTAAGATCTGTCTGCCAGAAGAGGACGACCCTGAGGATGACCTTGAGGACCCCACAGTTGTCTGCACCTGCCTGGTGGCCCTGATGCAGAAGAACTGGAGACACGCTCGGCCGATGGGAGCTCAGTTGCTCACCATTGGTTTTGTCATCTTCTCGGTGGGCCCCCCAGTCACCCTTGCTCCTCTCCTGCCTTGCCCCTTTGAGACACTTCTTCTGCTGGAGGTGCAGCTCAAGCAGCAGAGCACCTGCTTAGCACACACTAAGTCCTGAGTTCAAACCCCAGTACCGCCAAAAAAAAAAAAGATCCTTTTTTTTTTTTCCAATACTGAGGTTTGAACTCAGGGCTTTGTGCTTGGGGACTCTACCACTTGAGCCACGCCTCCAGTTCCCATTTTCCTTTCACAGAGCTCTCATTTACCACACCTAGCTAGCCACAACCTTTGTGGCAGACATTGTTCCAAAGGCCTTGCACGTACTAACACCCTAAAGGAATAGGAAGGAGACTGAGGGTCAGAGAGATGAGGTCACTGCCGCAGTTCACACAGCCAAGGGTCAGAGGCAGACTGTCCTGATTCCCAGACACTGGAAACATCTGCCACCCCTGAATATCTCCCCAGCCACCCCATCAACCAACAGCACTCACTACAGGGACCAAAAGAAACCCTTGATGGGCATTTTCCAAGGTCACTCATGCGCTGAAAAATTCTAGAAATGGTCATTTGGTCACTCACTGATACTCAACAAGTATTTGTTTGTTTATTTTGGGCAGTCCCAAGGCCTCGCACTTGATAGGAAAGAGCTCTACCACTTGAGCCACTCTGCCAACCTTTTTTTGTCTTGGGTGTTTTTGACATAGGGTCTTGAGAACTATTTGCACAGGCTGGCCTCAAACTGTGATCCTCCTGATCTCTGCCTCCCGAGTAGCTAGGACTGCACCTGGCTCAACAACTATTTATGAAGAATCTACTGTGTCAAGTCCCTGTCAGCCTCCTCCAGGGGATCAATAGCAAGCAAAAGCAGTGCCCGCCTAGCACATGCAAGGCCCTGGGCTCCATCCGCAGCAAAAATAATAGTAATAATAATAATGGTAATAAAAAAGTAGCAACAAAAAGAAAAACCCATAGACAAAAGCCTTGCCCTCCTCTGAGGCTGAGTCCACTAGGTTAACAGACTCACCTCAAGACAAGATGTCCAAGGTTATATAAGATCAGGAAAGGCTCCACTCAAGATCTCTGCACATATTAAAGCTGCTGATAATGCCTGCAGTAGAGGCACAGCCTCACTGTGTTTTCTGTTGCTATAACCAAATACCACAGATAGGTAATTTATAAAGAAAAGAGACTTATTTATCCTACAGTTGTGGAAATCCAAGAGCTCAGCATCTGGTGAGGATGTCACATAGTAAAACAGAGCAAGTGTGCTGGCTTGGGTCTCTCTTCCTGTTATGGAGCCATTAATACTCTCATGACCTCATTTAATCATAACCACCTCCCGAAGCCCCAGCACCAGACACCATTAACATATGACTTTGGGGACTAAGTTTCAACAGGAATTTTGGAGGGACAGACACACAGACCACAGCAGCAACCTACTGTATTTTAACACAATTTAACCTGACTTTTTACGAACTTATTTGGAGCTGGTCAAGATGACTCGCACCTATACTCCCAGCCACTCCGAAGGCTGAGGCAAGAGGACCACTGGAGCCCACAAATTCAAGGCTAGCCTCAAAAAGCAAACACACATGGCTAGATGAGGTGGCTCCCACCTGTAATCCTAGCTACTTGGGATGCAGAGATCAGGAGGATCAAGGTTTGAAGCCAACCCTGGTAAAGTTCTTGTGATTCCATCTCAACCAATAAAACCTGTCCTCTTAGCTACAAGGGAAGTGTAAATAGGAGACATGCAGTCTAGGCCTACCCAGTCATGAAAGTGATGCCCTATTTGAAAAATAACTGAAGCAAAAAGGACTGGAGGTGTGGCTCAAGTGGCAGAGCACCTGCCTAGCAACCACAAGGCCCTAAGTTCAATTCAGGAAAAAAAAAAAAAAAAAAAAAGGCAAACATACATTTCTTTTTTTTTTTTTGGTGGTACTGGAGTTTGAACTCAGGGCCCCATTCTTGCTAGGTTTACTAGGCAGGCGCTCTACCACTTGAGCCACCCCACCAACCCTGTTTTATACTGTTTTTTTTCAAGATAGGGCCTCGAGAAATATTTGCCTGGGCTGACTTCGAACTTTGACCCTCCTTATCTCTGCCTCCTGAGTAGTTAGGATGATAGGTGTGAGCCACTGGCACCTGGCAACCAGCTCTTTGATGTTAGCAGCATGAGGCTGGTCAAATCCTCACCTCCTGTCACTATTTCCTGTCCTGTACCTGGACGATAAAAATCTCCCTTGGTAAAACTTTGTGTAAACTGTAATTTGCCATCCAAAGCTGATAGATCCTTAATGCTATCAGACACCATGCCCCACCCACCACTGTCTCAGGGCCCTTAACGCACCTTGACACACACACACACACACACACACACACACACACTGCACACTCCACCTGGCTTCTGCAGGCCTGAGTCCCTTCAGCACCCTAGAGATCTGACTGTTCTTTCTCTTCCTTTCCCAGGTCCCCAAAGAGGTACAAAAGACAAAGATGTGGGGCTTCCTTCCAGGCCAGCACCCACCCCACCCCTGCTGCATGTGTATTGATTGGCAAAGGCAGGATTTGGCTCTGTGGAGCTCTGGGGGGCACTGGGTCGCAACTCTAGTCCCCTCAAACCCTGATGGGGTTGTCATCCACTGGGCAGAGTTCAGGCCAGGTCAGTTGTTGACACCAACCCAACCCAGGAGGCTACTCACCTTGGGGGCCCTCTCTCCCTGCTCCCTGTGCCAGTCCCAAACCCACCTCCAGGGCACATACAGTTTCAGAACATTCAGGATATCCACTTGAAGAAGGACTTCTTCACGAAGTATCAGGACCACGGCTTTTCAGAGATCTTCACCAACTCACGGGAGGTGAGCAGCCACCTCCGGCTGCCTCCGGGGGACTATGTCATTATCCCCTCCACCTTCGAGCCACACCGAGATGCCGACTTCCTGCTCCGGGTCTTCACAGAGAAGCACAGCGAGTCCTGGTGAGGGGCTGACCTTGCTGCCCCAAGATCCTCTGCCCAGGAGCTGTAGGGTGGCTCTGACCCTCTTCTGCATAGTCCCTATTTTACACTCAGGGAGACTGAGGCACAATGAAGTCAAGACCCACTTAGTAGTAAAACTGGAGCCAGAGCTAGAACCTAGAGTCTATGAAGCTATTCTATACTGCCTCATGACCTCTCCCAGACCACCCCACCCTATGGAAACCCCGGTCCCCTTGACCCCTGGGAACCCCTAAGTCTTCCCTCCCTTTTGTACAGGGAACTGGATGAGGTCAACTGTGCTGAGCATCTCCAAGAGGTAAGGGGAAGCTGGGAGAGGTGGGGGTGGAGGGACTTTGGAAACTGGTCGCTTTCCCACTCCCTTCCGCTAGGAAACAGTCTCTGAGAAGGATCTGGACCCTGACTTCCTGCATTTGTTTGAGATTGTGGCAGGCGAGGTGAGAGGGCTGAGAGCTGAGGCTCAAGGGAAGTGGCTGTGAGGCTGAAGGGGCCAGAGCAGGGACTGACGGTCATGGTCACCTTTTCTAGGACAAAGAAATAGACATGTATGAGTTACAACAGCTGCTCAACAGGATGGCTATGAAATGTGAGCCTTCCACTCCCACCTTTCCACCCCTCCCCCATGTATTTTGCCCTGTCTTAACTCGCACCCCATTCATTCCTTTCCCCACCCTCACAGTAAAAAGCTTCAAGACCATGGGCTTTGGCTTGGATGCTTGTCGCCGCATGGTCAACCTCATGGATGTATCTTCCTATTTGGCGGGTGGTCCTGCCCAGTGCTTTCCCAACCCTGATCCCTGCACCCCAAGTCTGACCCAGACATGGCCAACCATGCCCTCCTCTGTGACAAGGATTAGGCTCTGGGGTAGCAAAAGATGCCAGTTGTTCTGGCTGTTCCATTCGGGGACCCTGAGCCCATATGCACACACTCCCCCGATAAGCCCCTCTGCTTCCCTGCCCCAGGGTCTCCTCTTCCTTCCCTGCTATCCTTGACCACCCCTTCCCCAGAAAAATGGCTCGGGCAAGCTGGGGCTTCTGGAATTCCAAGTCCTGTGGAAAAAAATCAAGAAATTGACGGTAAAGGGAACTGAAGGGACTGTCTAAGGGAGTGAAGAAAAGAGGTCCTGGAGGGGTGAAGCCTAACAAGGATGAAGCAAGAACTGGAGCCCCAACTACAGACGACAGACACACACACACACACACACACACACACACACACAAGGGCTACTGGTGTATTAGCTAACCAATATGCTTAGAAGGCAGTATAGCCCAGGAAAGCCCATCATGAAGAAGGGCTGCAGAGCACTGGGTGGGACGCCAGGCGCCCCTGCTATGCTTGAAACAAACCCTCCAGTCACTAGGTAATAGGAATACTGGGAGCTCCAGGGTGGGTCAGGGCGGGGGATCCCAAGGGTCTTGGGCAGCTGTTGTGAGCCAGCTACACACACGGCAGCACTTCATTATTTCAACCACCATGCGACGAACACCACCCTGCGGCACCGGTCTGTTTTCAGGACATCTTCCGAGAGTGCGATGAGGACCGCTCAGGCACCTTGAACTCCTACGAGATGCGCTTGGCAATTGAGAAAGCCGGTAGCCAGGGGGGCGAGAGAGGGCTTGGGGGCAGGTGGCAGATGGGGGGTGGGGAGGCCATGTGCAGAGGCATGGACTCTGACTCTCTGTCTCTCAGGCATTAAGCTCAACAACAAGGTGACAGAGGTGCTGGTGGCTAGGTATGCAGATGACAATATGATCGTGGACTTTGACAGCTTCATCAACTGCTTCCTGCGGCTGAAGGCCATGTTCAGTGAGTTAGGCACCTGTGCATCCCCAGCCCAGGCCGGGAATGCTGGCCCTTTCCCACACACCTACCCAGAGGAGCCCTGCCCCAGAATCCTCCCCCTTACAGGACACACCTGACCCAAGTTCAAATCCCAGCTGCACCACTTGGCTGAGCTGTGACTGTCAGTCTGTGCCTCCATTTCCTCCTCTACAATAATAGCCCTGCCCCAAGGCCAGGAGCACACCTGTAATCCCAGCACTGCCAGGAGGCTGAGGCAGGAGGATCTGGAGTTGGAGGTCAGCCTGCAGGAGACCCTGCCTCCAAAAAAACAAAAACAAAACCAAAAAACTACTCTTTTAGGATTGACTGAGGTGCAGAGTCCATAGTACCAGGAGTTGTGACCCCCTAGGAGGTGTACCTGGGGAGCAGCAAGGAACAACTTAAGAACTTTCTGACCTTCTATCCCGTGGGGAGTGGGTCCTTTAGACCATGGTCTCTGAACCCCTCTCCCCTGACTCCTCTAAAACAGCATTCTTTCTAACCATGGACCCCAAGAACACAGGCACTATTCGTTTGAACCTGCAGCAGGTTCGTGGGGAGGATGGGGAGGGGAAGGGGAAGGGTGCAGATGGGGGATGTCCGCCCTCCCCACCCCCCCGCACCCCCGCCCCGCTCCCCCCCCCGCTCCCCGCCCGCTGGCCCCGCCCGCTCCCCCGCCCACCCGCGCGCTCTCGCCCCGCCCTTCTCTCCCACAGTGGCTGCAGGTGACCATGTGGGGCTAGGCGCGCCGCGCTGCAGCCACCAGCCCGGCTTTCTTCCGCCCAGGACGGCGGTGTCCCCGCCATCGGCTCTTCTCTGCAGAGCGCTGGGCCCACGTGGCGGCGCCCAGCCCCAGATGCCCACCCTCCCGGCTCGAAGGGGTTCTCTTTTGTCCCTCCGCAGTCTCACGCTGTCTCTGAGTATATTTTACCAAAAATGACGTGACGCTTCCTTCCCCCGTGTTTCCCTGGTCCGCCTCGTGCCCTCCACGCCTTCCATCCACTCACACCTGCCTCCTTGACCGTCCCTCCTTTCCCTCACCCGTGGCCATTATAATAAACGACATGCCACCGGCTTCCCATCTCGGGTTTTCTATGCCAGGAAAAGACTGACGAGGGTGCAAGTCACTTCCTCAGCACCAAAGAGGGGTCCGCTCCAGCTCCCGTGGACGTTTGGAAGTGAGTGCTTGTAACTAGGGGGCGCTGCTGGCACGTGTGGGCAGTGCCAGGATGCCGCGGGAACCCCGGTCCCTCTGGGTGACAACTGGGACAACGCACTGGGTGGTGGAGCAGCGGAGGAGGCACTGAGCCACCTGCCACCCCTGCGACTGGGGTGACAGGGGCTGTTACCGGAGAAATAACTCGGTTTTTAACGTCCGTTAAAATTATTAGGTAGCTAATTGCTACCTAACAGGGCCACAGGGCCCTGAGCCTTCCCTGTTGGAGGAGGCTCAAACCGGAGGCTCCAAAAGGTGGCACTTCAGGAGACTCAAAGGTAAAGAAAACGGACACTTGAAACAAGCAGAGGACACACACACACAGGCGCGAAAGCTCCTCCTGGTGTCCCTTGGAGGATGGCTGTGTTCATTTCTGCCTCAAAGGCATTCAGGCTCAAGTCCTTATTCATGTTAGAAGCTACTGTCCTCGCCAGAGCGATAGAGGAATGGGTCCTTGATCCACCAAGGTCGTTGAACTTGGAGTCTGCCCCACCCCTACTCCCAGCCCAGCCCCAGTCTCCTCAGCCACTGCTCAACCACACTTCTGTCCTTCTGGATGTATTCATGACTGCCCCTCTCTGGCCTATGACAGCGACACTGGGGCCTGGGCACATGAGCTTGTCAGCTTCTTAGGTAGAGACAGCCTCTCAGGTTAAAGCCCTGTCCTCCCCAAGGAATCGAGATGGAAGTGCTACCTACTGCCCTAAATAGACACCTTCCCCAGAGCAATCCAAATCCTTCCTGGATCTGTGTCCTCTTCCAGCTCCCTGGGGCTGCTGTGCAATTTCCTCCCAAAGTGGGGCTGGGTGCTCCCTCCTGTATACTAGCGGGGTCCACCCCTGGCATGCTGAGGGGGTGGCTGAGATTTCCATCCTCCAGAGCTAGAGACATTCTCAGCACAGCCCTGCCCCCCCGCTTCCTTTGTGACTTCAAAGACCAAACCAAACCTAGTCATCCCGGATAGAAAGCCTCCTCTCCCTTATTACCACCCCCCAGGGTTGCCGCCTGAGGATTCATTTCCTGTCCTGGCTCCCCCTCACCTTCCTCTCGGTCTCCTTTCCTGTCTGCTAGGTCACGCTCTCTAAGGAGCCTTTTAAGAAGATTGATTTCCACGCCCTCTCTTCCCTCCCTCCAAGAGCTGGCTGCCCCATCCACAGAGCTCTCTCCCTGATAAGCAAATGTCCCTGGGCGCAGGGGACATGGCAGGGAGCCCAATGAGGTACTAAAATTATCAGGACCTTTGAGCTTTTGAGGGGTCCTAACAGTCCCAGCATTCCCGGAAGATGCTCACTCCACCCCCTGTCCTTTGCCCTCGGGTGAGATGCTGCCAGCTCCCAGCCTGGACCGAAGGGAAGTGGAACATTCCCCATTCAGGACTATCACTTTAGGTTAGTCACAAAACCAAAGTGACTCATAAAGACACCATAGTGGCTCCCTGGGCAGATTCCCTGCTACTAACTAGTTGGACAAGGAATTCTCTAACGGTCTTCTTTTTCTACTCATTTTTTTCCTTGGTGGTACTGGTGTTTCAACTCGGGGCCTCACACTTGCTATTGTAGGTGCTATACTACTTGAGCCACCCCACCAGGCCACCCCCTCCTCACCGTTTTTTTTCTTCATGTTGGGTATTTTCAAGATAGAGTTTTGAGAACTGTCTCGAGCCACCATCACCCAGCTTCATCTGTTAATTAGGGGTAGCAAAAGCCTGTCCTAGAGGGGTGTTGTCTGGACAACTGAGATAAGGAAAAGCACTTTGCACATACTTCAGTGTTACCTATTACAGTAAAAGATGGAAAACTTAACATTCAGTTGTCAATACATTAGGTATTACACGTGATAAAACAGCAAGCCACTGAATCAAACACCACTTTGGGCATGAGGCATTAGTGAGTGCTTACTGGCACTAAATATCATGAACAAAAATGCAACCCCGGGAGTGTTTCAGGCCACAAGCCCAACTCCAAGTTCACCCGAATAAGCCAGAGATGAAGAGGCAAAGTGGGCAGTCTGGCTACGCAGGTGAGCTTCAAGTAGAGAAAGGACTGGGACAGGGACCAGAAGGACGAACAATTATTAAAGAGACCCAGCACAGGTGTGGTCAGGTGGTCAGAGGCGACCAGAGTTGTGGTCCAGTTGCTCTTGTTTTAGGATTGGTCAGGCAGAACCTTGTTAAATAAGAAAGTCACTGTTGCCTGGCAGGGGGTGGCTTTGTCTCCTGTCACAGGATATTTATCAATCCTGTCCTTCCTGAATTCCAAGGTGACTGCAAGATGACTGCAGGAAAGAATAGTTCAGAGCAAAGGACACACATACAAAATGGCAACAGAGACACCAAGCTTTTCTCCTGCTTTTAGTTCCTTTTTGGACATTTGCAGGCCCCAGTAAGGAGTCAGTGCTTTTCAGCAAAAGCAGCTTCTAAGTACCTGTTACCATAGCTACGTACATTAGGGAAAATGAGGCACACCATTCCCAAAATCCCCCTGACTCCATCCTAGGAGGCCATTCCCACTGTGTCCTGACTGTCTCCCAAGGACATGTAACCACAGGCAGGCAGCCCTACTTCATGCTTCTTTCCCGCTAGCCCTGGGCATGGATGACTTGTGCTCACAGTACCAGGCAGCTGTGAGTTTTGCTGGAGAAGGGCACCAAGCCATGCCATCTGCCTCCACCAGTCACGTAGCTTGACTCAGTTGGGCCTCTGGCAATCCAGATTTCATCTCCTGATGACAAATCACCTTTCTCCACGGCAGCTGCCTCCCCACCCCCTTTCCCTCAAATCTTCTCCACAGCTTCAATTTTACTGTGAAAAAACTTACATGAGAGAACATCCTCAGCCCTCCCTCTGCCCTCCCTTGGGATATCCATAGCTTCCTTCTCTGGTCCCTGAGAAAGTGGGGTCCCAAATGTGCTGGTAAACCAAAGAGTACAATGCAGTGGACAGACACCACCAGCAACAACTGTTGTTGTAGGATGAGTGGAAAAGATAGAGAATGGGCAGTTTAGCTTTTCTTGGACTTTTTTTTGGCAGCACGAGAGTTTGTACTCAAGGCCTCACACTTGTTAGGCAGGCGCTTTTATTATTTGAGCTACCCCACCAGCCCTTTATTTGTTTTTTTGAGATAGGGTCTCTTGAACTATTTTTTTGAGATAGGGTTTCTTGAACTATTTGCCCCAGCTGGCTCTGAACCTCAATCCTGATCACTGCCTCCTGAGTAGCTAGGATTACAGGATTGAGCCATCAGCACCTGGCCATGGAACTTTTTTTAAATTGTGGCAAAATACATACAACATAAAATTTACCATCTTAACCATTGTTTTTTGGGGGGAAGAGGACTGGGATTTGAACTCAGGGATTCTCACTTGCAAAGCAGGAGCTCTACTGCTTGAGCCAGGCCTCTAGTCCATTTTGCTGTGATTATTTTAGGTCTCAGGAACTATTTGCCTGGGCTGGTCTTAAAACTCCATCCTCCTGATCTTAGCCTCCCTAGTAGCTAGAAGCTACTAGGGAGCCCAGCTTCTTTTTTTTTTTTTTTTTAAGAGATGGGATCTCACAATGCTACCCAGACTGGCTACAAATTCTTGGGCTCACAGGACACTCCGGCCTTAGCCTCCAGAGCAGCTGAGACTATAGATGTGCCCACTGCACTTGGCTGTCCTAACCAGTTTGAAGTGTACAGTTCAATGCCATTAAACACAGTCACATTGTTGTGTGACTGTCATCACCTCTGTTATGAATAACTGCTGTTAACGTTCCATACAACTTTCTGCATGAACATGCTTTCCACTCTCTTGGTAGAGTTTTGTACACCTTTCCAGAGTTTCTCTATGCAAATACAAATACATAAATGTGTATTCTTATTTTTCCATCATCTTTGTACAAAAGATAGAATCTATACACACTAGTTGACACCTCTTCTTTTATTCTTTATTTCTGTGTATGTGTGTATGTATTGCTGGGGATCAAACTCAGGGCCTGTTTCATGCTGGCAAGTATTCTACCACTGAGCTACACCAATGGTCCCTTACTTTTTTATTTAAAGAAAACAAACAAACATATATATATATATATCTTGGGTTCATTACAAATTAACAAGGGGAGGGAGGAGGCTAGAACAATCCATACAGTGATATGTTGGATTGGAGGTATCTGTATGAACTAATTAGTACAGATACAAACAATTACACAAAAATACAGACTTGTTAGACCCACGTCCACACAGGTTACTACTCACAGAATTCTTTCTTACTCTGTCAACCGAAAAGGTCAAAAAGCAGCAATACTCCAGCAGTGAAATGCATACTCATATCCAACAATGAGTTTCTAATAGCATTCTGCAATAAATAAGAGGAATTGGATATGACAAATACAGAAACTCTGTATAATAGCCACAATTTTTCTTTTTTGAGGGAGGCAGTACCAGGGTTTAAATTCAGGGATTTGTGCTTGCTAGGCAGGTGCTCTACCACTTGAGCCACACCTCTAGCCCTTTTTGCTTAAGTTATTTTTCCATTAGGGTCTTGGATTTA